AGCACTCAAATGGTGCAGTGGCGTTAAAAATGCCCAGGTGTGCATCTCTTTACCTGCACAGGTGTGCTCCCTTACCTGTCAAGGTGTACTCTGTCTGCCTGATGCCCTCGATGACCATCCAGGGCTGGTCCTCCTTGAGGCGGGGTGGGCCCTCAAAGTTGGTCCTCCTGTACTCCAGTACATAGTGGTCAATCTTGCTGTCCTCATCTGGCATGCGCCACACCAGAGTCACGCAGTTATCTGCCACTAAGGACTCAGCTAGGTCAATCACTGGGGCGCTGGGCACTGTCCAGGACAGAAGGGAGAGGCTAGGTCAGGGTTCTGTGCCCATAGGAGATGGGAAGGGGACTTACTGAAGTCCTGCCCACCACAGGATAGCCTGTCTTAGGGGTGAAGCTACCTGGGGTTCCAAACCTTTGCATTTTGGAAACTCGGGGTTCCACCAAGGGCTGGGGAAGAGCAGAGCTCTCTCAGGGTTCAACCAACAAAGGGCTGAACCCACTCAAGATTCCATCTAGAGGTGAGACTTTTCCAGAACTCTTCCAACTAGGGGTGGCTTTCTTTAGGAGTCCACCACCCCAGGGAACATTCTCAATTCCCTAAGAGGTGTGGCTCTGTCCAAGGCTTTGCCACTGGGAAGGTTTTCCCAGGGCTCCATTACCTGATGGGCGGGGCTTCCCATGACATCATCTGGGTTCCTCAGCTGTGTGGGCGTGACTCAACCAGGGCTCCGCCCACAGACATGCATGACATTCACTGGGCTCCACTCACAAGCGGAGCAGTTATGGGGCTCCACCCAGGGTGGGACCTTCCTGGGATTCAGAAGCCTGGCCATTTTCCTGCAATCCTGGCCTCCAGTGGGTCCCCCTCTCACCAGGCAGGAATTTGAGGGCCTGTAGCATCTGCCGCTCCTGTGCAAAGTCCACCATCAGGTGACTCATGTTGTCGCTGACCTTGGCTTTCAGTGAGAGCCGGAAGGCAGGGGCCATCGTCACACTGCAGGAAAGGAGGTGGAAGCAGCTTGCTGGCAGGTCTCTCAGGAGGCCTGGTCGTCTGAGGGGTGGGGGGAACACCTCCCCAGGGTTCCCATCCAGTAGTTTGGGCCAGGCACCTTCATCTGAGTGTCCCCACCTTCACACCATAGGCAGGGCACTGGGGTGGGGGTCGATCCCAGATCCCAGCATCTTACCCATCTTTGATTTGCTTGGCAGCCTAGAGAAGGAGAGGGAATAGAATTCAGGCTTGTCTCACCCGATGAGGAAGCCATTATACAGACAGGAAAACTGAGGCACAGTTGCTTGGCAAAGTCCCCCACATTGGCAGACACTGTGACATTTTCTCCTGCTAGGTTAAGATGAGCCCCACCCTCAGCCCAGTCTCCCCGCAGTGCCCAAGGCCTGCAGTTGGCACGTCTAGAAACAGATGGCATCGAGCTTCACTGACAACTCAGATAATGAATGATTTGTTTAAGGTAAGTGTGTCCCTTGCAATATTTGAGATATACTTAGCACTACAAGGGATATACATGTATCAAAAAAATCATTATTGATAAGCGTGAGTTTCAGGTCAATAAGGAGTAATTTTTTAGTGTTTAAGTATGTCCCATGCAATCTTTGAGATATACTTATGCTAAATACTGCATGGGTGGGCCATACTTGTACTAAAAAATTGCTTGCTGTTGACCTGAAATGCAGTGGCCACACTGTATTTTCTCTGGTGGCCCCATAGGTTCAGCATCAGAGGCACCCACCTGGGGGAAGTCCTCACTGTCTGTGGCCTGCAGGGTCTGGTTGGCTGTCTCCAGCAGCTCCTCGGAGCTCTCCAGGGCCCGTGTGCAGGCGGCCAGCTGGTTCTGTGGGGAGCGTGGCACCAGATCAGCATGGAAAGGAGACAGCTCACCCTACTGCTTCAACTCCTCCAGCCCTGGGGCTGGCTGACACCCTCAGTGTTCAAAATACCATAGGTTTCTTGGAACTCCGGGTAGGAGAGTAAAGCAGGGACTGCCTTCCTTAAAAACTCACATACCCAGTCCACAAGAGAGTCCTGTACTGCACAGTCCCTGGGGATGGGGGATTGATGGGTTGTGGCCTGGACAGACTCAGAGCATCTTGGCTTGGGGGAAGATGCCGGGGCCAGCCAGGGCAGTGGGGGTGCCAGCCTCACCTGCAGCTCATAGGTGCGGCTGGCACGGTCCTGCTTTATCTTCATGAGCATGCCCTCCTTCAGCTCCTCCAGGACAGACAGCAAGGACTGGAACTCTGCTTCCAGCTCCTCCTGCACCTTGGCTGAGTTTGCCTGGGTTGCAATAGCCAGGACGGGCCAAAGGCCATGTCCAGATGAAGAAACAGAGGCCCAGATATGAGGAGTCCGCGCCTCTTGCCCTTTCTCCCCCTTGCCCCCCAACAGACTTCCCCACCTCCCTTACCTCCACGTTCAGCAGCATGTGCTTGAGGGAATAGATGAAGCTCTGGATCTCTTCATTCTTTATAGCCAGAGTTGTGATGATCTTGCGGAGAGCGTCCTATCCCACCAGAAGCAGGACACACACACACACACACACACACACAGAGCAGCAGATGAACTCCACCTGGTTCAGCTCCCTGCTCTGCCCGAAGGGATCAGGGAGTACACATAGGGCCACCATACAAATGAGCCCAGACACCAGCCCCCACACAGGCCTTGGAGGGACTTTGACCTATATACCTCACCTTGGGCACCCCCAATTTACGCGGAGGAAACCGGGCCTCAAAGCAAACCTCTGGGAAAGAAATACACAGGAAGCAGGTCTGCCTTCAACCCTGTTACCTACATCTTAAAGACTGAGCATGAGCTGGACTAGCCTGGGCAAAGAAACGCTCAGAGGAAAAGTGGGCAAGCTTGGGGAAAGAGCTACCTGTGGCACCTCCCTTAGAGGAGGTGGGATAGCCTGGGATAAAAAGCTAGTTTAGGAATAGCGGTGAGTCTGCAGCCCCCGTCCACCTGGGGAAAGGAATTAGCCAGGAGAGAGATCACCTGGTAAAGGAGCCACCAGAGAGCCCAGGTAAATGGGAAGGGGGAAGGGAGGCCACAGGAAAGGGAGGCCATGTGGGCGCATCCGGCTCAGACTCAGGCCTCCTACTGGTCCCTTTTCTGGGATCGCGGGGTCGCTGGGGTCAGCGCACTGCGGAGCTGGCCGAGGTCCTCTGAGGCTGGGCGGGGCGGCGCAAGGTCTGGGACACCAGGTCCGCAGCCAGGATGGTAGGGTGGGGGATGGGGTCAGGGCTGGGACAGGGATACTAGGTAGGGGGTGGGGAGGAACAGGAGGGGATGCTCCTGACCCTTGGCCAAAATGATGGGGGGGTGCTGCATGTCAAACGGGGGAGCCCTGCACCCGGAGGGGGTTGGGCGGGGCGGGGCGGACCGCAGCGCGGCGGGGGCGGGAGGGGGAGCGCGCTGCGGCATCACCTGGTCCCCTCCCCACGCGCCCCGCGCTGCGGCCGCGCCCGCCCCGCCCTGTCCTACCCTCTGGTCTTCCATGGCTGCAGCCCGGATCACCCCGGCCCGGCCCTAGGGCCCCGTACGCTCTTGGAGCCCCCAAGCTGCCTTTGCCGCTGCTGGGAGCCAATGGCCCGCCGAGCCCTCGCCGCCGCCGCCGCGCCCCCGGTCAGCGCTCCATCACTGGGCGCACTGCGCAGGCGCGCCTACCGCGGCAGCCTGGGAAATGTAGTCCCGCGATGGGGGTCTCCGAGAGTTCCCACCTCCAGAGTTTGGGGCTCACTGGGCGACGTTGGAGGTGGTGTTCAAGCTGGAGAGATCCCGGAGCTGGCAGGCAGGATGCCTGAACTGGCCCCCTCGACCCAGCCGTGTAACCTCGGGCTCACCCGAAGTCCCACAGTGCCTCCGTTGTTATTCAAACTGACACACAAGCCACCCACCCCCGAAATCTGGCCGTTGAACATTCACACGCCTTGCATTTTATTGAAAAGCCAAGGCCTTTGTCTAGCATGTGTTCAGCCTCCAAAACCCTCTTTCCTTTTTCATGGCATAGTTGAACTCCTACACGTCCCACAAAGCCTCTGTCCACAACAAGAAATCTCCCTACAGCGCAGGATGCACAGCGCTAAGGATGTCTATGTCCAGTTCTGTCTCCCCCATCAACTTGGCAGGGGCTGGGGCTTATCTGAGGTCCTCTGTATTGCTCCTTTGGAGAGAGGGCGGGAAGGAGCGATCTCGGGAAAGTCTGAAGAAGAGGGAAATAGTGGGCAAGGGGGAGGCTATGGTGTCCGCTGGGGAGGTGAGGGCAGAGCACCGCAGGGGCCTCCCTGTGACTCAAAGGGCAATTGTGTGAAAGATGCAGGCCTTTCCCAGCTCTGACTGAGAAAGCAGGTCAATTGCGGTCACTTGTGGCATCCTGAGTCTCTGTGTCTCTAGGTCTGCTACCTCCCTTCAAGGGTGCTCCTCTCCCAGGGGTGGGGCAGTGCAGGGATAGGAGGGTCCCTAGGTCCGGGAAGACCCTTAACTGACCCCTGAACTTCTCCCCAGGCCCTGGGGCAGGGGAACTCACACTTGTAGGGGAGCCAAAATCATCAATAGAAATCCAGAGCTCGGTGGAAGAGCATGCTGGACGCCCTCCAAGGAATACATTTCGAAGCCACAATCAGCAAGGCAGGATCCCTGCCCCTATTTAATTTGCTATTCAGGCCTTTTATGGCCTCTTGTGTTCATGTAGAACTTTAAGGAAGGAAAAAAACTTCCACTCTCTGGGGCATTTTCTTCCCCCTCCCATACATATACACACTGCTTTTCAGATACAAGACACTTTGGGGAAACTGAGGCACAAGGTGCCAGGAAGTGGACATCCAAGCAACCTGGAACACCGGATATCAGCTGTCTGCCCTTCCCCCCCTGATGTCACAGTTGTGGGAGAGGGGGCGGACACTGTGGCAGGAAGTGTGTAGCATAGGGTGTGGGGGAGCAGGGGTGGCCCAGCTGCCTCCGGAGTCTGGGGTCTGATGGGCCAGGGATGGGGTTCCCTGACTGGGTGCTGGTCCTGCTGGTGCACTTCTGGGGTGAGTACCTGGGAACCCTCCCTTGGCTATGCACGCACCCTATCCTGCTGCCCTTCCCCCAGCTGCGCACCCCTCCCATCAGAGCCCCTGGGCCAAGCAGCACCTAGCTTCTTCAGCTATTTGGGACCTTATGGGAATAGAACCTCGGTCCTCACAGGGAGCCTCTAGGACAGAATTCAATCCGGAACCTGCATACCAGGCTCTTCCTTCTGGCCTTTTTGGTGCTGCCATCCTTTCTGTCTGTTGTCTGTCGGTCTGTCTCTCTTTTCTTTTTTTTTTTTTTTTTTGGATACAGAGTCTCTCCATGTAGCCCAGGCTGGCCTGGAACTCATGATTCTCCTGCCTCTGCCTCTTCATTCCTGGGCTCTTTCTTCTTTTTATTCCCCTACACGTGACGCTTGAACCCACCTCCGGGCCTTTGCGTTTGCCACTCTGCCTCTGATTGCTCCTCTTTCCTGATCTTGTCTTTAGCCTGGTCTCGAGTGCATCTCAGATAATTTCTGGGGGGGCTCTAACAGGCACCTCAGACTCACAACTTGAAGTGAGCATGCTGTGTTTCAGTCAGCTCTCCCAGAGCCCCCATCTTGCTGTGCACACATCAGGGGAAGACCTGGAACAGGGCACCACCACCCTTCTTTCCCTCTCTAAATCCTGCCCGCTTGTCTGGAACAATCTTCGAGGTATATGGAGACTCTGGCCTTTTTCTATCTGGGCAGTCCCCCACTCCTATCCTCCCACCTGCTGGAGTCCCCCACAACCATGACACTCGGGATGAGCTCATGAAAACCTAAGTTGGGGGGCAGGATGCAGCTCAGTGATGAGTGCTTGCCTCCATGCAGGGGCACTGGGTTCTATCCCCAGCATAAGAAAGAAAAGAAAGAGAGGAGGGGAGGGGAGGGGAGGGGAGAGAGAGAAAAAGAGAGAGAAAGAAAGGAAAGAAAAAAAAGAAAGAGAAAGAAAGAAAGAAAGAAAGAAAGAAAGAAAGAAAAAAGAAAGAAAGAAGAGAAAAGAAAGGAAGGAAGTAAACTTCTTGGCTTTCCGCACGTCCCCACCCTACCCCTGTGGCCTACACCACCTCGTATTGAATATTGCCTGCCGGTTTCTCTGACCTCCCCTCTTTTCTGTTTTCCACTACCTCCCTCTGCTCCAGCCAGCATGCCAGGCTTGGTCCTGCTCCAGGTCCTTTGCACAAGCAATGATGTCCACTGCTTTTTCCCCATATCTCCTCTCTCATAACTAGTTACTTCTACCACTCAGATCTGTGCTCACTCGTCACCACCTCAGAGAGGCCTTCTCTGACCATCATCCATAAATAGAGGTCCCCTAACTGTCCTCCTCTATCACCCCCACCCCCATTCCTTTCCTCCATCACAATTGTCACTTTATGTCTGTCTGTGTCCATGTCACCCAGACCATCAGCTCCTGGAAGGCAGACCTTTCTTCCTTCCTTCCTTCCTTCTTCCTTCCTTTCTTCCTTTTCTTTCTTTCTCTCTCTCTCCCTCTCCCTCCCCCTTTTTATGGTGCTGAGGACAGATAGGAACTCACCACTGAGCTACACCCCTAGCCCCAAAGACAGAAATCTTTGTCTTTTTTTTTTTTTCCTTTGGTGCAAAGTTTGAGCTCAGACCTTGCACTTGCTAGGCAGGTGCTCTACTACTTGAGCAATGCCCTGTTAATAATGCTTCTGTTATTTTTCAGGTAGGGTCTCAAATTTTTGCTCAAGGATCCTCCTACCTTCAGCCTCCTGAGTAGCTGGGATCACAGGCATGCAACACCACACTTTTTTTTTTTGTTTGTTTTGGGTTTTTTTTTTGGTTTTATTTATTTATTTATTTATTTATTTTCATTTTTCTTTTATTATTCATATGTGCATATAAGGCTTGGTTCATTTCTCCCCCCTGCCCCCACCCCCTCCCTTACCACCCACTCCGCCCCCTCCCTCTCCCCCCCCTCAATACCCAGCAGAAACTATTTTGCCCTTATCTCTAATTTTGTTGTAGAGAGAGTATAAGCAATAATAGGAAGGAACAAGGGTTTTGCTGGTTGAGATAAGGATAGCTATACAGGGCATTGACTCACATTGATTTCCTGTGCGTGGGTGTTACCTTCTAGGTTAATTCTTTTTGATCTAACCTTTCTCTAGTACCTGTTCCCCTTTTCCTATTGGCCTCAGTTGCTTTAAGGTATCTGCTTTAGTTTCTCTGCGTTAAGGGCAACAAATGCTAGCTAGTTTTTTAGGTGTCTTACCTATCCTCACCCCTCCCTTGTGTGCTCTCGCTTTTATCATGTGCTCAAAGTCCAATCCCATTGTTGTGTTTGCCCTTGATCTAATGTCCACATATGAGGGAGAACATACGATTTTTGGTTTTTTGAGCCAGGCTAACCTCACTCAGAATGATGTTCTCCAATTCCATCCATTTACCAGCGAATGATAACATTTCGTTCTTCTTCATGGCTGCATAAAATTCCATTGTGTATAGATACCACATTTTCTTAATCCATTCGTCAGTGCTGGGGCATCTTGGCTGTTTCCATAACTTGGCTATTGGCAACACCACACTTGACTCTATCTTGATTACAGCTGTGCCTACCACATTCCGTCAAGGCCTGGCATGTGCTGGGTGGTGCAGGACAGACAGCTGGACATGTCACAGAGTCCATTGAAATCTCACAAGAATTGAGCAAGTCCTACCCTCAGTGAGGAGAAGTGACCTTCTCAAGGTCATATGACAGTGACCTTCTCAAGGTCAAACTCTTCCTTTGTTTTTTCTTTTCTTTTTGCAGTAATGGGATTTGAACTGAGGACCTCACACTGCTAAGGCAGGCACTTTGTCATTTGTGGCACACCCCTAACCCTTTTAAAATTTTATTTATTTTTCCATTACTGGAGCTTGAACTCAGGGCCTACACCTTTAGCCACTCCACCAGCCCTTTTTGTGAAGGTTTTTTTGAGATAGGGTCTTACAAACTATTTTCCTGGGGTTGGCTTTGAACTGTGATCCTCCTGATCTCTGACTCCTGAGTAGCTAGGATTACAGGCATGAGCAATGGGCACCTGGCCCTTTTCTTTTTTAACTTTCAAACCCTTCCTGCAGGTTCACTAGAGTTGAGTCACACACACTGAACAAGGCCTCCCCCACCTTCTGTCCTGCAGCCCTGCAAGGAGCCAGGAACCTGAGTGTGCAGCAGTGGCCCACGACCGTAAGGGCAAAGCAGGGCACTCAGGTGACCCTGGCTTGCCACATGACCCAGGCCCAGGCCTGGGAGCGGCTCCGTGTGGAGTGGATGAAGGACAGTGACATCTTGTGCCAGCTGTTTGGTATCAATGGCAGCCTCAGCTCAGGGGCTTGTGGGGCCCAGGGAAGGCTGTCCTGGCAGGCACCTGGGAGGCTCACCCTGCAACTGGACCATGTGCGTGCCAACGACAGTGGCAACTATGTGTGCTGGGTAACCGTGGAGATTCCTGAGTTGGACAAGGCCAAGGGCAATGGGACCCAGTTGCTGGTAGAAGCAGGTATGAGAGCCAGTGGTGAGATGGGAAGTGAGGAAAATTCTAGGATCTTAAGCTTACTAACTCACAACTTCTGGACATATACAACCCTTTGGACTCTTGGGGCAGAAATTCTGTGAACTTAGAGCATCCCAGATCATCACGCCCAAATCGTAGCTACTTGGGAGGCTGAGATCTGGAGGATCCCTGGGCAAATAGTTCATAAGACCCCATCTCCAAAATAACCAGAGCAAAATGGACTGGAGGAGTGGCTCAAGCAGTAGAGCACCTGCTTTGCAAGTGCCAAGGCCTGAGTTCAAACCCCAGTCCCACCACCAAAAAAAAAAAAGTTGATGACTTTCATTATGGATTCTGGATTTCTTGGGCTGGCGGAGTGGCTCAAGTGGTGGAGCTCCTGCCTAGCAATCTTGAGGCCCTGAGTTCAAACCCCAGCATCACATACGAAAAAAAGAAAAAAAAAAAGATGTATGCTGTTATCAGTCAGAAGGTGCTGGGGAAGGGGATGGCAGCTCTGAGAGGCCCACGTGGGCTTCGGAGGGACTGGAAATGCTGTGATTTTGAGCTGGATGGTGTCTGCATGATGTATTCAGGGGAGAGAAATAACTCAGCTGGACACAGCATTTACGCATTCCTCTGTAGATAGGATATATGTCAATGGCACTTTTTTTTTTTTTTCATCTTGAGCCAGGGTATCACTATGTAGCCCAGGCTGGCCTTGAACTCACAATCCTACTGCCTCAGCTTCCCATGAGCTGGGATTTAATAACACTTTTTTTTTTTTTTGGTGGCACTAGGGTTTGAAGGCTTTCTAGGCATGCACTTTACCTCTTTAGCCATACCCTGCTCCTTTTACTTTAGTTATTTTTTCTGAAAGGGTCTTCCATTTTTTTTGCTTGGGACTGGCCTCAGATTTCATTCCTGCTACCATGCCCAGCTTTTTTGTTGAGATTAGTCTGGATAACTTTTTGTCCCAGCTGGCCTTGAACCATGATCCTCACAATCTCTGCCTCCCTCATAGCTGGGGGCTACAGGCCTGCATCACTGTATCCAGCTTAATAATACATTTTAGAAAAGGTCTAGAATTATTTTTTTTTTCTTGTGGCGATACTGGGGCTTGAACTCAGGGACTACACCTTGAGCCACTTTACCAGCCGTTTTTTGTGATGGGTTTTTTGACATAAGGTCTTGATGACTATTTGCCCGGGCTGGCTTCCAACCTCAATCCTCCTGATCTCTGCCTCCTAAGTAGCTAGGATTATAGGCGTGAGCCACCAGTGCCCGGCCTAAAATTATTATTTTTTTGGATGAGATTGGTGTTTGAACCCATGGCATTGCACTTGCAAAGCAGGCGCTCTACTGTTTGAGCCACATCTCCAGTCCATTTTGCTCTGATTATTTTGGAGATGGGCTCTTATGAATTATTTGACTGGCTTCGAATACAGTCCTCCTGATCTCTGGCTGAGTAGCTAGGATTACAGTGTAAGTCACTGGTACCCAGCTCTATAATTGTTTGTTTTTTTAATCAAAATTCCAGAATCCTATCTCCTCAAGAGCCTTCTTGTGATATTCTGGAGTATGGTTGGCTGCAGGGCAAATTCAGCCTTACCAGCTGTGTTTTTAAATAAAGTTTTATCAAAACTCAGCCACGCCCATTCATTTATGGATGGTTTATGGCTTGTCTATGGCATAAAAGTTTTGCTTACATGTGCAACAGCCGCTACAGAGACCATTTGATCCACAAAGCAGGAAATATTTACTGGGAGGCCCTTTCTGGAAAGTTCACCAAGACCTGCTCTAGAAGTTCCAATGTGTCTGGTGCTGTGTCAATACTGAGATTTGTGGGGGGGAGGGGGCGTGGGATTATAGGTGTGAGCCACCAGGGCCCAGGAAAAGCCATTAACTCTTAAAGCCAGAAGTAGCTTTCCAATTTGGCAAAGGCGGCTCTCCATTTTCCAGACAAGAAGGCTGAAACCCATAGAGAGCCAAGGTGGGCAAAGCATGATACACAAGCCCGGTTTCTCTGGAGCCTACTGACACACTCCCCCAACTCTTCTCTGGTGACCCTTCCTTATTAGCTAAACCTAATGGGCCTGCCCCCCCACCACCCTGGGGGTGTGCCCAGCCCCCATCTGGCAGAATGGAGCACCCATCTCCCAGCCCCAAGAGAAACCCTTTCCAGCTGGCGTGGGCACGTGCCTGCCTCAAGGGTGAAGTGTTGTGGCTGTATGGCAGGTCCCCACCCCTCCATGTAGAGGGGGCTAATTAGCAATTAGCAGGGGCAGGGTAGTGAGGCGCCAGGCTGTGCATTGGCACTGCCGGAGAAGGGAGCGGTGGGCGCTGGTCCAGCTCCACACAGCTGCTTCCCATGCTGGAACAGTGACTTGGCAGCCTCCAGGGACTGCCCACTAGTCTCAGAGCCTCGAGATGAGGGGCTGGGGACCTGAGCCTTTGGCTGGAGTTCATGCCAAATATACAGGTTCAAGACCCTTCTCTTTCTTATTGGTTTGCTGTGTGACCTTGGGCAAATAGTGTGACCTCTGTGTCTGTTTTCTCAGCTGTGAAGGTACAGTGAATTGTACTTCCCTAGCTTGATGAGGTGGATGTAGACCGGTTCCGTGACATGCCGTGCTCACGCCAGGGCCTGGCCACAGAGAGTGACCTGTTAACATCAGGGTCATGTCCGGGATGCGGGCTCTTCGGTAACACTCCCGTGCTCGGAGTGCGCGGGCACGCGTCTTCTGAAACAGGAGGAGGGGTGCTGAGGGGGCGGGGCCTTTGTTCAAAGCGGGTCCCTGCTGCTACATGGGTGCAGAATCCCAGGCAAACGATTTAGGCTCTCTGGGCCTCAGTGTCCCATCTATGAAATGGGTTTGGCTCAGAGTTTGAGGCTGAAGCAACTGGAGTCATGAGGACGATGGGTCCGATGGTACAGATGATGGAGCCCAGCTCATGACAAAGGTGATGGAGTTCCTGCAGGGAATGTAGGGGCCTGAAATGGGGGTGAAGAGACTCAAAGGAGGACCCCAGAGCTTGTGGGGAGGAGGCGGGGCTCCTGGGGAGGCGGCAGAGGTCATGGGAAAGAGGCGGGGCTCATGACACCCCATCTTTCAGTAGCCCCGCAATAACCCACCCTGACAGCAATGCTTGCTTAGCCTAGGTTTTCAGAAGTGAGCGCCTACCTGAGCTCCCCCCACGGTGGCAGGAGCGGGAACTCTGAGGTCCCACGTGGTGGCAGGGAGTTCTAACCCTGGAGCGTGAGGGAGGCTGGACTCAAAGTGGTCACCCTCCCGTGACACAGGTTTCTTCCCTGCAGATGGCCCCCAGCTGAACACAGCCTCCAGCTTCTCAGGTGAGTCCCTGCCGCGTGTCCCCCCTGCTCTGGATGCTCTGTGCGCCCCTCCCCGTCACACCTCCCCCTCTCTCCCAAGGGCTCTTCTTGGCGCTGCTGGTGGCGGGGACCCTGGCCGTGGCTGCGGTCGCGCTGGGCGCTGGGGTCTGGGCCCGGCGCCGCTGCGGGCAGGAGGACTCAGGTGAACCCCCAGGTACCGCGCGGGGGGTGCGGGTTTCCACGGGCGCCGCCGCCCCCATGCGGCGAAGGCGGGAACTGCAGGTGCTTGGCAAGGACGCCGCGCACTCAACGGCCGGCCTCCTGCAAGGAATGAGGGTGGGCTGCGAAGCTTGGGGAGGCGAGAGATAGAGAAGGCTCGGCCTGTATCCATGTTTTTCAGAAATACAGTCGAAGTTCCCCCATGTGGTCCAGAGAGCGCCATTCTCTCTTTAGAGACTGTCATCAAAGATTTGTGTCACCTCTCCCTAGGAAACCCATTGTACTGCAATGTCCTATACCGGCCCCGGGGAACCCCGAAGAGGAGTGAGGCATGGTCTGGAGAGGGGAAGTCGCTGAACAGCCCAAAGGAGAACCAGAGAGACCAGAGTGTCTATTCAACCTCTTTCCCCCAGCCTGTCCCCTGCCAGCCACGGCTGGTCCCCAAAGCCAGCCCCAGGCCTGGCCACCCCATCCCTACTGTCAGAATCTCTCCTGGCCCAGGCTCGTCTGGGTAGCCCAGGGCCAAGAGGATTCCCCAAAGTCAGAAGAGTCGGAGACCCTAGGAGACCTAAAGTGGACTCCTGGGAATAGCTACACAAGGGAGAAGGGGCATCTAACAGCCACAGCCTGGGGCCTTTGAGGAGGAAACTCCCCTTCGGTCCTCAGTAAAGGACACTCAATAAAGGCTCTTTGCAGCCATTTGGGAATGTTGGAGTATATTTGTGAAGTCATCTGGAGGCCCCAGGGATGGCTGGAGAGGTCCATTGTGGCCAGGGGCTGTTTGACAACTCCGCCGCACTTGTAGGGACAAGACATGTCCAGGGAGCTGGGAAGCAATGCCCCCAGCCTGCGGGCAGTGCCCTGTGCTGGAAGACACCTCCCCTCAGGGGGTCCTGGAGTGGGGAGGAGGGGAGAGGTCAAGGGGCTCCTTGGATTTTACCAGTCAGTCTCTGGGTCTCTTGCCTGATTGTCACCTTGAAGTGACACCAGCTGGGCCTGACTCCCCTCCCCCACTTCTGCTGTTTCCATGGGGACAGATGTCCTTTCTGCAGATCAGGCTGGGCTGCCCGGATGAGAAGAAGGCGGGGCTGGCCTAAGCGCCTCCCCTCCTCCCCAATCTTTCTACCTCCTAGTTCTGTCTTCCATCACTGGGTTTTTAATCTGCCTCCAGAATGCGCTCCTGCCACTCACTCCAGACTCCAACCTCAGCTCAGTCCCCCAAACAAAGAGCTGGAGACACCTTTGCCTCTCCAAGGGCCTTGTCTCCCTTCCGTCCTTCTAAGGGCCCTCTGGATGGCCCTGGGGACTCTGCATGGCTGGAGTAGGTTCTCTCGCTGAGTCAGGGATCCCTGCCTCCCTACAGCCCAGAAAGGACACTGGAGAAAGGCAATAAGTTATTTATTGGCCAAGCCAGGGAAGGGCCTGGAGTCTCAGGAGCCTGGCCCCTGGATCCAGCAGAGCGCAGAGAAGGCGGCTCAGGGCCTGCAGGGGGAGGGAGTCTGTGTGTCCATCTGTACATTGCAGCCCCTCCTCTAGGACCAGATAGACCTTCAGCTTAGCAGCCAGCAGCTTCACAGCGCTGTCAGGGGCTCTGCGTGACCACTGGGTAGAGCAGGGCCAGGCGCGCGGCGCCCTGAACCGGCAGCGGGCACGCGCTGTAGTGCAGGACCAGCGATGGCACACTGTGGAAGGGCCCGCCGTGCTGGCCCAGCACAGTCTGGTTTTCCTGTGTCCGTGTGAACTTCAGATGCAGGAAGCCCTGGCTGCTCCTGGGTGGGGGGCTCACTATCCCACCACTCCCGCAGCACGCTGGGATTCCCAACGCCTCAGGCAGGCTGTCAGCTTACTCCCCATGGGCAGGGCTGCCAGTGCAAGCTTGTCCCCTGGACAAGGGGTCTAGGTCTCTGTCCTAGAACTGGGACTGGGTTGCATCCCAGAGCACGCCTCTCTGCTGGATTTTTTTGTTGCGGGGTGGGGGGGCGGGGAAGGTACTGGGGTTTGAACTGAACCTCCAGCTGCTAGGCAGGTGTTCTTCAGCCACGCCTCTAGCCCTTTTTGCTTTAGTTATTCTTCGGATCAGGTCTCAAGTTTTTGCCCAGACTGGACTCCAACTGCGATCCTCCTGGGTTTCCTCTCCTGAGTAGCTGGCATTATAGCAGTTAGCTATCTCACCCTGCTAGAATCTTAAGGAGAGGAGCAGATAGAACCATGGATTCAAATGCAAATGCTTACAGGATCGCTCCAAGATTCTGGCATCAAACACACTCTAATGGATGTACTTCAAGTTTTGGACTAGGAGAGTTGAAAGGGGCCTTGGACACCTCCTTCCCTTCCCTTCTCACTCAAGGCCTGGAGCTCCTGTATGATTTCCACTCCATCTTCTTGCATACCTCCAACGACAGGGAGCTCATTCCCAGTTGGAACCCTCTGGGTAGCTTCCCGGGAAGCTCGCCCCCTGGCCACGCCCCTGGCCCCAAGTCTCCACCCACTGACACAAGTTCCATCCACTAACACGGAAGCCCCACCCACCCCTGACTGCTGGAGCCACGCCCCTCTGCTTCTCCTGCATTAAGCCCAATGTGTGCTACAGGCGGTCCTGTGACCTTCCTGTCCCTGTGAGGCTGGGTCTCACCTGAGGGACAGGGAGCAGTCCTGGGGGCTGGTCTCGCTGAGCCGCACGAGATAGCTGCCTTCTTTGTACAGCGACAGGAGGTTCTCCGCATCTGCCCGGCTCAGAAGGCCATGAAACCAGCTAGGGGTGGGGGCAGAGGTCTCAACACATCTGTCGGCGGGCCAGGCACACGCACATGCAGGATGATTCCCTTGAATGTTTCCGGAGGAGCCGGGTTATGGGGTAGACAGGTTTTACTGAGGGTGACTGAGCCCCAGGGCAAAGGAATTACTGCCCCCAGTTCGCCAGTGCATGTGCACCTGACCTTAACCTTCTCTCTCTCTCTCTCTCTCTCTTTTTTCTCTCAGTATGGTACCCAGGTCATCAATCATGCTAACAAGCCATTCCCACCAGCTGCACCCCAGGGTGACCTTGATCTTGGCTCCCCAAGCGTCCTCAGCACCCCCATGCACAAGGTCAATCACTTTCACTGTTTTTGCCACATCCTCACCCACACCGGTGCTGTTCTGCACTGAGCATTTCTCTTTGAAGGTGCTCAAAGAGACTTTAGCAATTGTGAGCAAGGTGTGAAAGACAAAAGCACCAAGCAGGGATTTTGTGGTTGTTTTGTATTGGAAGAAGACAGAACACAGAATGAACTTGACAGCCTCAACCTCTGGGGTTAGAAAACTATTGCAGCACAAGGAGGGGGGCCCACCCATCCTCCTCCCCCTTCCATCCCAAGCCCTCCTGGGGAAGGACAGTGATTTCTTTTACTTTTTGTGTTATTGGTGTTTGAAAAACTTCCTTTTCGCTCCCTCTCTCCCTCGGTCTCTTCCTGCCTTCCCTTTCTTCCTTCCTAGCACGGGGGAGGGGGGAAGGGGGGATATTGAACTCAGGGCCTGGAGTTTGTTAGACAGACTAACTGCTTGAGCCCCGCTCCATGCCCCCAACCCTTTTTGTTTTACTTATTTTTTTCCCATTAGGGTCTCTCATTTATGCCCAGGCCAGCCTGGACCACGATCCTCCTATTTACACCTCCTGCGTAACTGGAATTACAGACATGTACCATCACACCCAGTTTTATTGGTTGAGATGGGGTCTTGCTAAACTTTTTGCCCCACATAGCTTGGAACCTCAATCTTCCCAGTCTCTGCTTCTGGAGTAGGTGGCATTATAGGTGCACCTACTGCCCTCTTGGGGAGTTTTGAGCCTGAGGCTCAGAGAGGTTAAGCGACTTGCCTCAAGCCACATAGCAGGAGATGCAGAATAAGGATTTGAACCTAGATCCCGATACCAGACAGAAAGGGACCTCATTCATTTCTACTTAGTCCCTAGCTGGGACTGCGGTACCCAGCAGTCACTGGCACACACTGATTAACTGAAGAAATGAAGTGAATGAGTGAATCAAAGCACCCCTCCTTCTCCTAGTCTGAGGAGGGAAAAGATAAAATTTTGGCTGATAAGTCAGTCTGTAGATGGTTGGAAGGGTTCCATGTGCTCTTCTACCTCCAGCTTCCCCACTCACGGCTGTTTCTCCAGGGGCAGGGCCAGATCCACGCGCTCGGCGGGCTGGGGGCTTCTGGGCGGTGGTCTCCGGAGCTCCTTGGCCACACCTGGGGTCCTTTCCCACTCCGGGTTGTCAAACTGCACTGAAAAGAAAGGGTTAGAGAGGAAAGAGTTAAATACAGCCTACCTCGTGGGGGGCGTGGCAGGGATCAACCAGTGGACTTTCAATACGAAGATGTGTCAGTTTAGGGCAACCTATCAGAGCCCAGAAAAGAGGGGCTGAGTTTAAGACTGGGGTTGGGATTGGCACAGGAGCAACCCATTGGCCTTCAGAAGAAAGGGGTGTGGTCATTCATGAATTTGTAGGCAAGGAGGCCCGCCACCCCCTTCCCACCCTTCACCCTCCCCCATTCCCCTCCCACACCCCGCACTGCCATGAGGGAAAAGTCAGAACGGCTAGAGGGGGTGGGATGGAAGGTTTTCCAACTAGGGTTCCCTGGTCCTGAATTTCATTCTGGGGTTCTGTGCCAATTTGGGCCAAGTCATAAAAGTGGAAAACACCCCCAAAAAATACAGGCAGGGAAACCAAGACACCAAGCCCCAGATACCCTCCCACTTGTGGAATTTCTGGGGTCAAGTCATCTTCTCACATCTCTTCCTGGGCTGAGTTATTTTATTTGTTAAAGGTATCTTATTAAAACCCATTTTATAGAAGAGGAAACTAAGGTTCCAAGCTCACTCTGTTCAGGTGAAATCGACCCCAACCAAGTCCACCTGACAGTTGCTAAAAAATTCTGCCCTTCCATTCTAATAACTCTTTTCAGCCTTCAATTTTCAAACACCATCTTGGTAGGTCCTGTAACGATCTCCATTTGAGACTCACAAGGATGAAGTGATGTGTCCAAGTAAATGACCCAATGCCAGGTCTAGTGTCACACCAAAGCCACAAGTTCCATTTCACTTTAAAGGGCCTTTCAGTTTTTCCTGAGAAGAATGTGTGGCTATCAGTCATTCACACTTCAGTGAGAATTAAGCTGCTATAGTGTTAAGTAATTGGGCTTTTCTTGTAAACTGAAACAGGGACATTCCCAGCTGAGAAAATGGAGGGATGGGCCATTCCAAGATAAGGGCCTGGTTCAAAGCACCTGCAAATGCTCTGGAGATGTGTTCTTTCTTCCACTCCCAGGGTTGATCATATTCGTCGGCTGGTCGTTCATCCTCCTGGGGTAGTCGACTCTGCCGATGCCTTGACCCAGATGGGAGCTCGTCCCCTGGCTCTTGGTCCTGCTCTTCGTAGGGAGTATCATACAGCTGGACCGAACTGCGTGACAGTTCTGGGAGGTCAAGGACACCAGTCAGCTCCAAATTCCATGTGGGACTTGAACCCTTCCCCCAAGTTCTGCTTACTCACCACTTACGACTCGCTGGGCCTCATATGGCTCCATGTAGCCGTCATCTGGGGGTGGCAGATGAGGCTGGGCATCAAAGGGGTCTGAATACTCAGTGTCCACTTCCGGCTGGAGAGAGAGTAAAGGGCACAGGTCAAGAGGTCAAATGCAGAGGCGACCAAACCTAGCTCTGGACACTATTTTTTTTTGTTTGTTTCAGTACTTGGGTTTGAATTCAGTGTCTACACCTTGAGCAACTTCACCAGCCCTCTTTTGTGATGGGTTTTTCAACACAGGATCTCTTCAAACCCTGATCCTCCTGATCTCTGCCTCCTGTGTAGCTAGAATTACAGGCATGAGCCACTGATGCCTGACTCATGTTCTTAACCACTGCCCAGTACTCCACCTCTGGTTGCCTTCCTCAAATCCTTCCCTGGCCACTGTCCCCAATGAGGCTTTGAGGTTGGCTCCCCAAGTCTGTAAGAACCGTACTGAAAGACAGCATGGTAGCTGGAGGCCAATGGCTCATAGCTGTAATCCTAGCTACTTGGGAGGCTGAAATAGGCAGGATCATGGTTTGAGGCTTGCCCAGGCAAATAGTTTATTTATTTACTTATTTCGCAATACTGGGGCTTGAACTCAGGGCCTACACCTTGAGCTACTCCACCAGTCCTTTTTCATGATGGGTTTTCTCAACAAAGGGTTTCATGAACTATGTGAGTGGGCTGACTTTGAACCTCGATCCTCCTGATCTCTGCCTCCTGAGTAGCTAGGATTACAAACATGAGCCACTGGCACCTGGCAGCAAATAGTTTATGAGACCCCATCCCTAAAAGAGAAAAAACAGTGCAAAAATGGGCCAAAGATGTGACTCAAGAGCTAGAGCACCTGATTTGCAAAGCCCTGAGTTCAAAACCTAGTCCCACCAAAAAAAAAAAAAAAAAAACAAAAAAAACATAGCTGTTGGAGGCAGGTCTAGGTTCAAATCTGCATGTGCAAAGATCCCCCATTGCCTTGGGAGAGTCACTTGGCTCCTATGAGTCTCCGTTTGCCCTCCTGTAAAGTGGGATCATAACAGCAGAAGGGCAAAGCAAGTACAATTCTGAGGAACTGACTAGTTGAGATCCGTTTTAGGAAGACTAGGTCAAGAGGAAAGGAAGCTGAGGGGAGAGTAGGATTATGGGGCCATGGGCCACCAGGGAGACAACGCAGGACCTCCCGTCTTGTCTTCCACCTGCGGGAGGACAACCAATACAAGCAGGTGGAGGAGCAGGAGTGTCTGGTGCTCCCATTGCACTTGGCATCACACATAAAACAAGCTCCTAGGATCTGGGGTGCAGCGCCTGACCCTCCCCACCCAGTATCCCAGGATCACCCAGCCACGCACCTCCTCCCCAGGGCTGCCCAGCAAGGCCTTGGCCCTCGCCATGTCTGCTGCCTCCACCTTGATGAGCCGGTGCTTCGGAGAGTCGTATTTGGAGTCTCCAGGTCCAGGGGGCTCCGGCTCCAAGCGGGTGTCCGCGTCCTCATAGGGGTCCTCAAAGTCCAAATTCTTCTGCACCCGGTAGGCCCTCAGGATGTCACTCTCTGTGTAGTCGGGGGCAGGCGGCTGCGGCGGAGGTCTCCGACCGCCAAAGCTCAGGTAGTCCCGAAGCCACTTGGCCATCTGGGAGCGTGTCACCCCAAACTTGGTTATTGTCAGAGGGTGACCCACACGCCCCGTCTGGGTCTGGTACTCAGGGCGGAGGAGGAGGAAAAGAAGGAGGAATAAGAAGAGAAAGAGGAGGAGGAGGAGGGAGATCAGGTGCGCCCTTTTTCTAGGTTCCGCAAGGATAACGCGGAACGAAGAGGGGAGGGAGGGAGGGAGAAAGGAGGCGACAGAAGTGGAAGCGGAGGAAGCCCACCTCAGCAGGGCTGGGGAAGGACTGCGGGGTAAGAGCGCCGCGCCCCAGGTCCTCGCGCCCGGGAGAGAGGTATCCGCGGAAGCGGGCGCACTTTCCGCGGGCAACGCAGTGAGGGTGCGCGGCTTGACCTCCTGTCGCCTGGGGGAAGCTTGGGGCTCCCTGCCTGGGTTCGGAGGTTGGGGGAGAACGCCAAGGGCGAGGTCCCCAGCCTTGGATCAGCCTGGACGCCAGGGTTCTCAGCGCAGCTGGCCGGCTCTCTCGGGGCACCGCGCGCAAAGTTGCCCGACGACGGAGACCCCGGTAGGGCGCATCCTTTGTTGCGCCCCTTTCTCTCCGCTTTGGGGGAGCCCTAATCCCACGGCCCCACGCCGGCCGCCTCCATCCGGCCCCAGGCACCGCACAAAGGGAAATAAAATCCTCCCGCAATCCCCGCTCTAGCTTTCGGGGACTTTAGCGGCAGCCGCGGGCGCGCGGCTGGGAGGTGGGACTTTGGGGAGGGGGCGCGCAAGCGGACGGTCAGGTCCTCACCAGCCCCGGGGCCGAGTCCAGGGCAGCAACGTCAAGGCTCCCCCGCCTCCCCCCGCTCCCCGCTTCCCTCCCCCGCCGCCGCTTCCCCGCCCCCTCCCCTCCCCTGCGCGCCCCTGGGAGGTGACTGAGACCTTCAGCTGTTGCGGGGAGGGAGCGAGCCCCGGCCGGCTAAGGGAAGGGGGATCGGGGGCGGGAGTCGCTGGGGCCGAGGCCGCGACAGCTGGCCCCTGATCGGAGGACCGAGCCCGGCCGCAGCGAGCGAGGAGCACGGGAGGTGGAAAGTGACCGGGGCTGACATCGCTGGGGAGCGCGAAGTGCCGCAGGGGAGAGGAAGGCGGAGGGAGGTGGAAATCGACAGGAAACGGCGGCTGCCCTTGACCGCGAGAGGGGTGGGATTGACCAGTAAAGGGGGAGAGTGTGGATTGAAAGCATCCCACAGTACTGAGGGATGAAATCGAACCAGTATTTTGCTTGAGACCTTGGGATCGGGGGATGTGGAAATTGTCGCAGGTCACGGGCTCAGATTGACACTGGTGCAGCCAGAGGAAAGTAGGAGACGACCGAGGGGAAGGCATCTCACGTACCCTCCCCCTAAAGGGCTCTTCTTGGTTCCTCTCCTGGGACCAATTGCAAGGTGGGGGAGGGGCTGGGGCAGCTGGCCAGGGTAAAGAGATGCTAAGGTGCCTAGCTGGTGGCCGCAGCATCTGTCCCTTTGTGGCTTCTGGGGTAGGGTGGGGGGGATGAGAAGGGGGATAGTATAAGTCAGAGCACTCTCGCTTGCCCTGGCTGTCTTTTGACAGCTGCAGCTGTCTGGGGCCAAGGGATGAGAGAGAGAAGGGGGCTGCTGGCCAATTCGACAGTGAAACATTTTTTTCTTTCCCCATACAGGGGTTTGTTCAGGTCCCCTTAATGAGTGGAGTAAGAGGGAGTGATGAAGAAGCCTGGGGCTCTCCCAGGAAGACAGTCTGGAGGAGAGGGAACACCAGGCTGAAGTCACAGCTGGCTCTGCACCGCACAGAATAGTGGGGCCAGGAGCAGGGTCTGCAGCTCTGTGTGCCTCAGTTTCCCCAACTGAAAAATAGGACTTCAAATAGGGAAACCTAGAAAGCTCCAGGAAGGCCTGTCAAAAGGGTGCCTCATTTTACAGATAGGAAAACTGAGGCATGGAGAGATCAAGGCCTTTCTCAGAACACCCACAGCTCATTTGTACCTGGACACCATCACATGGTCTGATGTGGGGTGACAGCTGGAGTCTCTTCATTGAATCAACAGATATCTCTCCCCAGTCCACTACTAGCCCTGTTGTCTAAATAGAGACACTGAGGCCTGGAGCCAGTGAGACGAAGACCCTGATGCCTGGAGAGGTCTCTATGCTACCCTTTCTAGCACCAGCTGTGTCCCCCAACATGGACCTGTTGAACTTGGTCATGAAGCCCAAGTCCATTCTCCTCTCTCCTCTCCTCCCCACCCTCTCTGATCAGTGACAAGCAGTGTTCCCCCCCCCCCAACCCTGTCCCCCTGGGACACCAGGGAGCACGCCTGGTAATTGTCCTGTTTTCTGTCAGCTGCAAGGCAATTCCCAGCTTGGGGATGAGCGGTTGACAGATCTCATCAAATCCAAGTCCTGTCTCTGTCAGATAAATCCACGGCGTCTGCGGTATAAATATTTGAAAGAGGCTTTCTAATTACAGGCTGTGTCAGGAATAGCAATTAGAGGCCCCCAGGCAGAATCAAACGCCGTTTGACTTCCCTGTGCCTTTGAGCCTGCTTTTCCTGGGGCTGCCCCCCACCCGAGGAGAGGAACGGGTTGGGGGTGGTGGCAAGCAGGCGGGAGATGGGGGACAAGGAAGAGAGTTTGGCCATCTTGCCTAAGCCCAGTGACCTTGAGCTTTGCCTCTGGGACTTTGACTTTCCATCAGGACCAGAGGGATGGAGGGAGGGGTGCCATGCCAGGAGCCTGGCACCAGCTGCATGAGGTTAAAAAGGTAGGATGGTTTGGGGAGTCTCATGGTGGGGAGGCCCCTTCCCCTGGGAGTTGAGAGGCAGCTTGGGGGTGGGGGGAACTCAGGTCCCTACTTGGTCCTGCAGGGCTCAGGCTCCTCTGACCTTGGGGGCATGACAGGGACTGTTCTCACCCGGAAAATGGGAGATTAATAATTACCCCTGGTGAGCAAGCGCTCACTGCCAACTCCTGACTTGGGAGCTCGGTTTTGATAAAGAAATATAATTCACACACACTACAGCTCACTCTTCGTGGTCAAGGCTGGAGCAGGGCTCAGCTCTTGCCTAGCACACGCCTAGCATGTGTGAAGCCCACCTGTACACCTTAGTGTATTTGCAGGCTGGGTAGCCATCACCACTATAGTTCTAGAACATTCTCATCACCCCCCAAAGAAACCCCAGATCCAATTACGTTCATCCACTGTATTCCCTCCCCCGTCCTTGGCCCCATGGATCCTCCTGTTCTGGATGTTTCCTATCAATGGTATCACCCACTGTGGAGCCTTGTGTGTCTGGTTCCCTCATTGAGTACCATGTCCTTGAGGTCCCTCTACCATGTGGCATGAGATTTGGCCTCCTGTTCACGGCTGAGTGATGTTCTATTGTGTGACACAAAATGTTCGATATATTCTTGGGCAGGACAGAACCTCAGGAAAGACCCAGATGGGGGTCCCTGGCTGGAGACTTGCCTCTCTCTCTTCCAGTAAGATCCTGGGCCCCCATGTCTGGAGGGCGGTTGGGAGTTGAGGCACCAGGAGGTGCAGATGTAGGGGTGCCTGGTGAGATGCAGCCCTTTCTTAACACAATCTGATGGGAACTGAGAAGCCCCCAGTCTGATGGAAGAGGTACATACATGCCTTAACAGGCTCCCATTTGGGGTACAGGGGCACACACTGCCCTCGGAGCCCCTAGTCTGATAGAGGAGGCATGCATCTGACTTTAGGGACTTCATTTTGACGGAGACACAGCTCTCTGCCTTTAGGACCCCCAATCCAATGGAGGACCCCCATCCAATGGAGGGGATCCCCATCCAATGGAGGAGCCATGAGCCTTTCTGTAGAAGTCCCCAGTGTGATGGGAGAGGCTTGATCCTGCTCTTGGAAGGACTCAGTCTGATGGAAGAAACATGTGCCAGCTTTTCTGGACTCACAGTCTGATGGAGGAGACATGGTCTTGACTTCCAGAGTCCTTGTCTGATAGAGGAGACATGGCCCTACCTTCAAGGGCTCCCAGTGTGACAGGGAGGAGAAGCCCAGTCCCTAAAGGCTTCAATCCTGGGGAGGTAGGATGGCACACTAGGGTGACAGATGTGACCTGGGTCCCTAATGCCCCATGAGCCCTTGGCCAGGGAGACCCCTCATGTCAAGCGGGGCAATAACAGCACGTGCCCAGCGGGCAGCTTGCATCAATGTGGGGTGGGGGTGAGGCAGGCCTGGCACATGGAAGCAGCCTGGGACATGGGTGCCGCCCCTTTCTCCTTTGTGAGCCCAGGCTAGGTAAGGCAGTGGCAGAGCTGGGTCAATCAGGAAGCCCCCATCCCTTTCCCTCTGATGAGCTCAGCAGCCAGACAGCCCCCAGGGAAGCTGATAGAGGAGCTTTCAGATGAGGCCTGACAGCTCGAGGACAGGATGACAGCTGTGGGGCCTGGGGGGCAGCACCGTCGGTGGTGAGGGAGAGGTGGGGGCCTGGGAGGGCACCAGCCACAGGCCCCATCACTGTGCCTACCCCTCTCCTCACTCAGCTCCTAGAACCTCCATGAGGGGGCAGACGGGGCGGGGTGGGGGGTGAGAGCATCAAGTCCCCAGAGAACTGGGAATTACGGTGAAAAATTCCAGGATGGGCGCAGAGTTCCAAGAAGCGGACTGGGGAGTGGGGCTAGACTCTCAGGGACTCCATGACTTCTGTCTACTGGTGCTCACAGCCCTCGTTGGCTCAAGGTGGGGCAGCTGGGCCTTGCTCATAGTGAAGGGATGTCACATGCACTGTTCTCTTTTGCTTTAGGGATCAAGCTTTGGCAACACCCTTGTGGGCAAGGAACAGAGGGTGGCCTGGGCCAGGAGCCCAGGAACAACTGAATTCTAAGTGTGGAAGCTGGTCCTCCCGTGGGGCCTTCAGATGAGGCACCCACCTTTTATTTGTTGTTGTTATGTTTTGCAGTCCTGAGGACAAACCTAGGACCTTCCGCACGAGCACTCGCCACCAACCACACCCCACTCTGCCTCATGCAGGTTCTTCAACTGGAGCCTCCTTCATCCGGAAGTTCTGTCCTGGTCTGTCCTGGGAAGAAACTTGCCCAGATTCGCGAGCAAACACTCCTGAGGCTTGTCCCAACATTGTGCCTAGCTGCTAGTCAACAGGGGACACAACCAATGCCCCAGGATCAGCTGGAGTGTCCCCAAGGGTGGGGAGCTTGGCCCCAGTGTGGCATGCTGGGAGGATGGGATGTTTAAGTGGGGTCTCTCATGGGAGGTGACTGGGTTCTGGAGGACGCTACCCTTGAAAAAGACTAACATCGTTCTCGTGGGACACCAGATTTTCCCAATGGGTTGTTACAAAAAAGCAGATGCAGCCCCCTCCCAGGCTCCAGCTTCCTGTCTCACCTGTGACCCCTCCTCTTGTACCCACATGCACCATGATGTCATCGCTATGTGACATGATGAAAGGGGTCCTTGCCAGAGCCAAGGGGATGCTTGGCCTTGAGTCTCTAAAAGTGAGCTAAGCAACCCTTTTTTCTTCATGAAGGACCAACCTCAGGCATCTTGCTGCAGTAACAGAAAACAGCAGTGCAACTGCTGAACTCTGGCCTGAGTGACACAGTGCTGAGTTCTGAAGCCCCGGAGGTGACGAGAATCCTGCTAGCAAGACCTCACTGCAGAGAAGGCAAGGCTGATGGGCAGTGCCCTTTTACTGCTTAGACAGTTTCATAAGGGAGGCGTGGAGGTGACCCAGGAGGGCAGTGCCCCGTCCCCAAAACATGGTCTAGATCTCAGGTCCACTGGAAGACGACAGATGTCATGGCCCTTGACACCCTGCCAGATGGAAAGGACGAGTTGGGCCCTGAGGGGCTGCAGGCTGCTTGCTGGGGGGACAGAGAGAAGCCAAGACCCCTGAGACCACTGCTGGCCTCTGGCCTCACAATGGCACAGTGTGGTTCTGGCTGGTATCAAGGCCACTTGCCTTGACCACCAACTCCTCTGCCTTCCAGTGTGGCTAAACCTGGACCTCTGATGCCCCTTGGCCTGGGTGGGGCTCAGTTGGTGCTGTCACTGTCATCACTATCCCCATAGGCACCGAGCTGGCTCAGGGAGGAGGCAGCAGGCGTCTGGGGCACAGGGTCAGCTGACTTCTTGCTTTCTGAGGCACCTGTGGGGAGACAGAAGGATGAGCTAACTATGGCTCTGGAGGGCTGAGCCTGGGACGAGCGAGGCTGGAGCCGGTGGTCAGCCATTTCTGCTCATTTGTGAGGCCCAGAGTGGAGGGTGTGCAAACAACCTGGCCTGTCTGGGGGGCGCCTGGTGGACACCATGGTATCCAGTCACCCACCCTGGAACTGGCGTGTGGACACTCCACCCAGACAGAAGACGGAGACAGTCAAGCCATGAGCCAGAGTGACTGTGCTGTACAGAGCAGGTTCTACCACCTTCCCTGCTTGTGTGGCCTTGGTCAAGTGGCCACCCCCTGAGCCTCCATCTCCTCCTCTGACACATGCAGCCCTCAGAACAAATGGCTCATTGTACCAAAGGGTCACAGGCGCCAGCTCCTGCGGGAGCTCAGCGTTTGGCCGAAACCAGGCTATGACTGCCAACTGGGTCCCATTATCACCCCAACTTTACAGGACAAGACACTGAGGGTGGGCTGACAAAGCCGGTGTACCAGCACCACGGCTCTGAGACGGAGCTGCCCAGGACTGTCCTGGGAGGTGGGGACCCCGTCCCTAGACGTGGGAGGGTAGCGGTGGCCTGGCATGGGATGTGTTCTTTCGGTATGCTTCTGTGGGCCTTGGGCGTTGAAACACTTGATCCTTTTTTAATGAAAAGACGAGCCTCAGCCCTTCTCAGCTGAGAAAACTTTCCAGTAACTGGCTCTGGGGTCACCTCACCCCATCCACCTCAGGAAGCTTCTAGAACAGACTGGAACACTCTCCTACCCCCACACTTACCTGGGTTGCGTGCCTGGCCCTGCCCTGTGGCACCATTCGCTTGTGTCTTTGTCTTCTTCACCACGACCAAACCCGCCAACTGGGTCCTGCCGCCCATGCCTTCTGCCTTCCTCTTGGTCTTTGGGGCCTGTGGGATGAAGAGGGGACCTATGCAGGTAATCTGGCCCAGGTCTGGCCCATTCTCTGACCTCCCTGATCACAGCCTCCTCCCTGCTGAGCCGGCTAGGGTCTTTACCATCCCCACCACACCCTGACGCGCTCACCAGGTCTCTCCCCTGCTCTAAATTCTTCTATGGCGCCCCACTGCCCTAGGGCTGCTGCTCAAGGTCTACCCTATTCTGCATTTCACACACCTTGCACTTGCATTTCCCAAGTCCCATGTGGCTTATCTGCATCTCTTCACCCCTGCCATGCCCTTCCCCTGGAAAGTCCCCCTTTTCTTGTATTCACTTGGTGAACTCCTTCTCAACTCTCAATACCCAACTCAAGGATCTCCTCTGTGAAGCTCAAATGAGTGCCACATATCTGTGACCACAGTCCCTGTACCTGCTATTAAGTGCCTCCCAACTATGCTGTGAGTCCCTGTTTCAGTACTGCAAACAGTTTTCAGCATACAGTAGGTGCTCAATCAATGTGCTTGAGAGGGAGCGAAAAGGGAGGCAGCAGCCTTGAGGAAGGGTGAGAGTCAGTGGAATAGGCCTCAGCTCACCAACAGCTCTTCTACCACACCAGGAGGATCCTTGATCAATTTTGTTTTGGTGCTACTCAGGGCCTCATGCTTGCCAGGCGAGTGCTCTACCACTTGAGCCACTCCACCAGCCCATTTTTTGTGGTGTGTTTTTTTTGAGATAGGATCTTACAAACTATTTGCCCAGGCTGACTTCGAACCATGATCCTCCTGATCTCTGCCTCCTGAGTAGCTAGGATTACAGGTGTGAGATACTGGCACCCACCCCACTTATGTTTAAATCAAGGAGCTGGGGACCGCTGGGCTATGGGGGGCCCTGAGAGAAGCAGAGCTGGTGATGCAGCAAGATGAGGAACCCTCAGGACCACAGCCATCTGGAGAAGACAGAAGTCCACCATGTGGTGGCAGCACTTCTAGTAAGGTGGTTGGGAAGGTGACACTAAAGAAGAGGTTGAGCCCATCTCAAAATGCTGTGGGAAGGCACTCCAGGGGGAGGGAGCAGTAGGACAAAGGTCCCATGCGTCTAGGGGCAACAGCCCAGCAAGAACAGGAGGCAGGGAGGGGGCAGAGGCTGTGGTAGCCACACTGCAGAGCATGGCACAGGACAAGGATTCAGGATGCCCAGGGCAGTTGGTTGAGCTGGGAGAGGTCATGGGCTGGCGACAAAGGTTAAAGCTTTGCATTTGCGCAGTGCTGGGGATGGAGCCCAGGGCTATGGGACACAAGACAAGCCCATGCCACTGAGCTGCCCCCCAGCCCTCCCTGTATAGAGCCTTTTACCCAGCACCATCTGCTGGGTAATTAACCGTGGGTTCTGACCATTCCAGACACCATACAGTGCCCTTGGCAAGCCCAGGACAGGGGTGTCACATTTGTGACCAGACCTGTTTCTGCTTGCTGCACTTCACAAACCTCAATTAAAGAAGTGTGGGGATGAAGAGAGACACACAAAACTTTCTGTAACAGTGATGCTCAGGACTGACAGCCTGCTGTGCAGAGACAACACCTCATATTGGATCAGGAGGAGGTAAGAGCCAGAGAGACAGGGAAGTAAACCTTCAAGGGCACATGGCTTGGGAGACAGCTCAATCTCCTGTTCCACCTGAAAAAATAAAGGGAACTGGACACAATAAATGCCGGAAAGATGGAGAATTAAGCATGAGATAGAGCCTTAAAGAAAATGTCCTTAAAAAAGAAAGTCTTATATGAATAATAAAAGAAAAATGAAAAAAAAAAAAAAAAAAGTCTTGCCAGGTGTGGTAACACATGCCTGTAATCCTAGCTACCAGGAAAGCAGAGATCAGGAACTGTGGTTTGAGACCCCATTTCAACAGATAAAGCTGCGCTCGGTGGTATGTGTCTGTCATCTCAGCTGTGCAGGGAAGCATAAATAGAAGGTTCGTGGTCCACGGCAGCCAGGACATAATCGTGAGACCCTTTCCAAAAAATAACTAAAGCAAAAAGAAAAAGAAGTCTCAAGGCACACTCGGAGGCCGAGGCAGGAGGACTGATAGTTAAAGGCTAGCCTGGGCTATAGGGGAAGGAAGGAAGAGTGGGAAGGAGGAGCAAAGCAAGCAAGTCATGGTTCTGTATCAGAAGATCAATGGGAGAAGAGTACATGATATTTAGTGGCCATCACCACTAAAGACTACATTTCCTAGCCTCCTTTGCAGCAGGACATGGTCAGGTTATGTACTGGCCAATGGGATGTGAGCAGAAGGACTGGCTCGAGCAGGTGTGTGGGAAGTGATACAAACGCCAGGTGTCTTCCTCCCCAAGGGTGCACTGAAATGCCACCCACGTGGGTGGCCAGGAGACCACTGGACAATGAGACAGCAGAGCCTGGGCATGCCGTGTGGCTGCCTGTCCCGCTCTGGATCACTCTGGACAGCTGTGGCTGGAGAGGGAAGCAGATTTCTATTCGGTTGAAACTATAGTTACTTTGGGTCTCGTCAAGCAGCTGGACCTGGACTTGGTCATCCAGTGCCATCCCTCTGCCCTCCTTTACAGTCAGGAGCATGGCCAGGCCCAGGCCATAACCCACTGTGTTCCTGTTGTCCTTGCAGCTAGGCCAGCTGCATGACCATGTTCTGGCCAACGGGGTGTGAGAGGAGCTAAAGTAACCACTGAGTCCACACAAGTGTCCCCTCACCCTTCACCATCCAGAGCTGTGACACAGAGCAGGGATCAATGCGCCTGGAGCCGAGATCCTTGAATGACTTTGTAGAGCAGAGATGTGTGGAAGTCCTGGACTGTGACCTAGCATTATCAGGTGACTGAGAAACAAACTTCTTTTTTTCTTTCTTTTTTGGCGGGACTGGGGTTTGAACTCAGGACTTCAAACTTGCAAAGCAGGTGCATTACCACTTGAGCCACACCTCCAGTCCATTTTGCTCTGGTTATTTTGGAAATGGGGTCTCGAGCTATTTGCCCAGGCTGGCCTCGAACCTCCACCCTCCTTATCTCAGCCTCCTAAGTAGCCAGGATTACAGGTGTGAGCCACCTGTGTCCAGCTCCACTACATTCTTTATATCCCTTGGCTTCCACAATTTCCATGGGAAATGGGAAAGCACAGACTGTGAGCCTGCCACCTGGTTTGGTGAATAAAGTGTTTGTTTGGCAGCACTGGGGTTTGAACTGAAGGCCTCGCACTTGCTAGGCAGGCACTCTGCCACTTGAGCCACTCCAACAATAAACCCTGTAAATAAATACAGATCAACAGACACATAGATGGATAGATGGATAGATAGAGGGATAGAAGATAAATCAATCGATAGATCAATAGATAGACTTATTGGCATTACTGGGATCAATAGATGGATAGATAGACTTATTGGCGTTACTGGGGTTTGAACTTGGAGCCTCACACTTGTTAGGCAGGCACTCTACCAATTGAGCCCCATGAATAAAGTTTTATTGACACACAACCAGGCCCACTCTTTCACACAGGATCTAAGAGCAGAATGGAGCAACTGAGATGCAGATTGGCCTCCTAGGAACAAGCCAAGCCACCCCTGGCTTCTCTTATCCTGTGGGCATGAGCATGAGGGGTCCCTGCTCACCTCATCCAGGATGGCAGTAGGGTTGGGCCTGATGGCCGGCCGGGGTGGGGCAGGAGCAGCCTCATCCTCTGAGTCTGAGTCCTCCAGCAGCCGGCCTCTCCGAGCTTCCTCCAGCAAGGCCCTGGGGGGACAGAACGAGAGGGATGACAACCGGTTCTGCAGGAACCCAGAGCCCAGGACCCTCTTTTAAGGAAACCCTGCCCAGCTCCGAGAGCTGGGGTGCTGCTCAGCAGTAAGCACTTGCTTAGTGTATGCAACACCCTAAGTTTCATTCCCAGCAACACAAACACAAGATAAAACCCACAGCTACGAGGACATCACGTGCTGAGTCCTGGGGTGCCTGGGGGTATCACAGCACTGGAGTGGTTGTGGGGCCATGAGAGAAAATAGGACAGGCAGGGGACTCAGTGCAGTTTCCCTGAGGAGGTGACACTATAGGGAGCCGTGGGAGAATGCCGAAGGGCCTTCAGGGTGGCCCTGAAGCCCTCAATGACTCACGCGGTCTCCCGCTCATCCTCCTCCTGCTGCTGCCGCTGGCGCTCCTCTTCGGATAGCCGGTGCTGTCTCAGCATGGCCTCAAAGTCTACATGTGCCTGCCGCTGGTTCAGGTCCTTCAGCTCCTGTAGGTTCTCCAGCACCTCCATCTCTAGCTTTGAATCCTTTGTACGGTTCTCCAGCACCTGCGACAAGGAGCAAGCTGGCATCATGGGCCTCTGCCCGGCCTCAGTCTTTCCTGCCTAGGACCCTCCATCCTGCCCAGGGACTTCCAGCCCAGGCCCCATTGCTGTGCCCATTCCCCGGGTGGGAACACTGAACATTCCCTTCCCCTCTGGGAAAGGAGGCTACCTCTGAAGGCTGCGTAGCTGGTCAGTGGTGACACTGGGATTTGAACCCACAGGCAGAGGAGTGTGGAAAGTCTGGCCCTAGAGTCAGGAAGCCTGGATTTCCAGGCTGCTCTATCATTAAGTAGAAATAATGGTGAGTAATTTAAAAAGCAACCTGGGCCCCTGCTATTTGACAGGTCCCAGGCTACAATGACCCCAAACCATCACATTTAACCTCCCAACAACTGAAAAGGAAACTGAGACTCAGGGAAGGCAAGATCAGCTGTCCCTGGTCTCAGAGAGGTGGTCATGCAGCCAGCCAGACCTGGGTTAGAGGCTGCCTTGATTCTTCCTGACCGTGTGGCCTTGCTGTCTTTGCCCTCTAGAAAGTGGCCACCATGGTGGTTTTAAGATTGTCCATAGATTCTTTGACACTCCTCCTGTGAAAGGCGGAGCCTTGAGCTGGTGGTGGTTACTCATTTGTGATAGAATAGGATGGAAATGACATCATTTCTGACAGGAGGTCATAAGAGTCACATGACTTTCTTTGTTCTCCCATGAGAGTAGAGATGGCTTTGAGGAGGCAGTCACCATGCTCCTGCCAGGTGAGAGGCTGAGGCCTCTGCCCACAGCCATGCGGGAACTGCTGGGAAGCTGCCCCTCCAGCCTCACCCAAGCCTTCACATGAGACAGCCCCAGCTAGCAGCTTGACCAGGACTTCACAAGAGATGGAGAGCCAGATCCCCAACCAAGCCACCTGGGATTCTGGATTCCCAGAAACTGTGGGAAGTAACAAGCGTTTGCTGCTGGAAGTTGTGACATTTGGGGGTAGCTTGTTACACAGCACTAACACATGGGGATGGGTGGGAGACAATTTTTCCAGGGCCTTACACATCCTCAGCAAGTGCTCACCACTGAGTTGTATGCCCAGTTCAAAGAGTTTCTTTGCAGGAATAACTGTAGTCATATGCACATTCACAGGGCTTGCTGGGGGCATGGCTCAGGTGGTAGAATGCCTGCCTAACAAGTGCTAGACCCTAAACTCAAATCCAGTACCATCAAGAAAAATAAAAGGAATTTAACGGAGTTCTAGATGGTTTCCGTGTATGGACGCACTTGTTCTCACTCTGTCTTAGGAGAGCAGAGTTATCAACCCCACTTTACAGATGGGGACACTGAGGCCCAGAGAGACCAAGTGGCTTCCCAAGGTCAGAGAGCCCAGAGGTGCTCACAGGGGCTTTTTCTCGTTTCTGGTCTGCAGAGCCATGGCTGCTTCTTGGAAACAGAGTGGCCGTCTTCAGGAAACCCCTTCCTCTGAAGAGCAACCTCCCCCTCCCCCCGCTCCCCTTTTCCCTGCTGTAACTACTTGCCGCAAACTCAGCACACTAAACTAGTTCGAGGCCTTGAGGCTTTGTTGTGTATGTGTGTCGGGGGGGTCTGGCTGGGCTTTCAGGCCAGGTCCACCCAGGGCTTAGGTTCTTGTCTGATCATTCAGGTGGTTGGCAGAATTCAGGTCTCCAAGGTTGAAGGCCTCAAGTCCCCATTTTGTCTTGGGTGCTAAGTGGGGGACACTTGACTGTTAGAGCTGCCTTGTGATTTCCTCCCTAATTTCCCCCCTTCAAGCTTCTGTGTCTGACTCTAGATGTGACTACATAGCACAGGTGATAAGGAGGCAAGCTGAGACTCTCCCTGGGTAAGGCCAGCTGTGCCACAATTGTCAATGACAGAAGCGAGTCAAGGACGGGGGCATCCTCACCACCATGCTGGGCGTGGGGATCAGGAGAGAGGCCTCACAGGGCATTTTAGAAGATTTTCATTGTTTGGTGAGACTTGGATTTGAACTCAAGACTTCACACTTGCAAGGCAGGCTCGCTACCATTTGAGCCACACCTCCAATCCATTTTGCTGTGGTTATTTATTTATTTATTTATTTTTGTGGTACTGAGATTTGAACTCAGGGCCTCCACCTTGAGTCACTCCACCAGCCCTTTTTTCTGATGGGATTTTTCTAGATAGGGTCTCATGAACTATTTGCCCAGGCTGACCTCGAACCAAGATCCTCCTGATCTCTGCCTCCTGAGTAGCTAGGATTAGATGTGAGCCACCAGAGCCTGGCTGCTCTGGTTATTTTGGATATTCGGTTTCATTTTTGCAGGCTGGCCTTGAACCTTGATCTTCCCAATCTCAGCCTCCCAAGTAGCTGGGATTACAAGTATGAGCCACCAGTGCCCAGGTTTATGCTTGTTTGTTTGAGACAGAGTCTCACTGTGCAGCTCAAACTAGTCTTGAACTCACTATCCTCCCGAATCTGCCTCCTCAGTGGCTTAGATGCCTGGCTGCATCTTAAAACTTTTTCCACTGTGCTGCCCACCTCATCACCCGGCCTGGGGATCTGCAGTGGCAGTACCAGCACAAGGTCGCCCTCCCGGCACGCAGCTCACCTTCATGGGGTTGTTCAGCTCCTCATCCTCTCTCTCCTTCTGCACGCGCTTCTCCTCCTCCTCTAGGAGCTTCTCTGCCTGGAAGTTGCGCGTGGCGCCGTGCTCCATGGTATAGTCTGTGTTTTCTGGGTCTGTCTGGGAGGAGGGAAGACAGATGTCAGCTTCTGCATCCCTGGGCACTGGACATGGCTACCAGGAGCCTGGACCCCTTTTCACAATTTTTCTTTCCTTCTGCCGTCTTTTCTTCTTCTTGTCTCACTTGCTTTGGCAGGTATGGGTCTTTCTTTCTAACACCCACCATCCCCTCTAAAGAAACTCCCAAGCACGGGCTTTAAGTCCCCTTCACCTGCCCCCTCCACTGTCCACCTCCACTCCACACCCTTGATGTGTTTACAAATTGAAGTCTTGAGGTCTTTGTAGTCCTTGTGCTTTCTGCCTCCTTTGTGTGTGTGCACTTTTAACTTTTTTTTTGTTTATAAATTACATATGGAAAGCATGAACACAACTTACTTCCATGGGGGTCTTTTTTTTTTTTTTTTGTGGCACTAGGGTTTGAACTCAGGGCCTCACGATGCTTGCTAGGCAGGTGCTCTTACCACTTGAGCCACTCCACCAGCCCTTTTTTAATTGGGTATTTTCGAGATAGGGTCTCACGAACTGCTTCCCAGGCTGGCTTGGAACTGCAATCCTCCTGATCTCTGCCTCCTGAGTAGCTGCTAGGATTACAGAAGTGAGCCACCGGCGCCTGCCTAATGGGTGTTTCTGAAAGACAGAGGCTACGCAGTCTCCTGGATCAGAAAATGACATTAGCGTAAACAATGACGTCTACTCCTGAGATGGCTGGACTTGGTGAAGGCTAACATTCGTATGTCTTGTTGAGACATAGGCTCTGTGATTCTGGAAGATGCTAATGTCAAGAGAGCAGGGGAGGGGTGGATGGGAATGGTCTCGGCCAGCCATCTTCTTAACTTTTCTGTTAACTCCATATGTATTCTGACGGGGCACCGGTGGTTCATGCCTGTAATCCCAGCTACTCAGAAGGCAGAGATCAGGAGGATCATGATTTGAAGCCAGCTCAGGCAAATAGTTCAACAGACCCTATCTCAAAAAAAACCCATCACAGCAAAAGGGCTGGTGTAGTAGCTCCAGCACCTCAAAAAAACAGAAGAGACAGAGAAAGAGTGACGTATGCATGTGTGTGTGCATGCGTGAGTGTGTAGTTCAGGAGCGTTGGCTCCTTTGCATGGAGCTGCCGGGTGGGTAGGAGCAGTTACTGCAGTAATGTCTGAACTGTGTTCTTACTCCAGCACATGTGTGCAAAAGCAGATGCAAACCTAGTTACTGACTCATGACAGAGAGCAAGGCCCAGTAATTTACCAGAGGGCCTCAAGTCTTTTACAAATACATGTGTGCTCATTAATGTGCAAATATATACAGACTTTTCTGGAGACAACCCAAGCATCTCTAGATGGACGAATGCAGCATGCATCCAATGGAGTACTATTCAGCTGCAAAAAATGGAGCACCAATGCATGCTACACATGGATGAACCCGGAACACACGGTGCTCAGTGAAAAGCAGACACACAAGCACACAGCGTGTGACTCCACTGACAGAAACGTCCAGGACAGGAGGATCCAGAGGCAGGAAGTGGACTCGTGGGGGCCAGGGGCTGGGGAGGGGACAGATGACTGCTTGTGGGACAGGGCTTCCTTCTGGGATTACAGGACTGTTCTAGAACTAGACAGTGGTGGCGGCTGCACAATGTGAATATATGGCACACCTTGAAAGTGGGACTTTTATGGTATGTGAATTGTATTTCAACAGAGCTGTTATTTAAAAAGTACATAATTAAAATATGTAACTTAAAAATGTACTTTTCACTTATTTAATCAGATCATATTTTATTATTTTTGTTTTTTTTTTTTTTTTGGAGACAGGGTCTCATTATGTATCCCAGGCTGGCCTTGAATTCATGGTATTCCTGCCTGGAAAGGAAGTGCTGGGATTACAGGTGTGCGCCATCACACCTAGCAATCAAATCTGATTTTTTAGTGAAAGAAAAAACATTTACAGCAAAAATAAAAAATACTCAAGCATTGCAGAAGTGGAGGAGAAAGGTAAGTCTTATGTTCTCCTTTTCCCTTCCCACATCATTAAGATAACAATCAAAGAGAAAGACATGGGCTGGGGGTACAATGCAGGGGTAAATGCTTGTCTAGTGTGTGCAAGGCTCTGGGGTCCACTCCCAGCACTGCCAAAGGAAATTTAAAAAAAAGATTTTAAATTTTCACTGGCTGTGTAACATGTCGCTGAGTATCCAGTCCCTATTAGAGCACACCTGCCTGGCTGCCAGCCTTTTGCACTTGTATGCAACACTGCTGCAAACATCTCCCCCAGACCTCCCTTGGAGGAAGAGGACTGGCACAGGATCCAGTGAGAGGAGCTGGAGGAGGGAGCCCTACCTTGAAGGTGATCTCGGCCAGGCAGCGCGTGCACTTGATGTAGAAGCGGAAGATGGGCAGGCCCAGGTACACCTCGTTCTGCACCGTCTCCTTGCGGGCATTGAACTTCTTCCCCTTGTAAATGTACTCCCCGCAGGTCTTACACCTGGGGAGACAGCAGCGCCATGTGTGCAGGCTTGCTACTGTGCACCCACGGGGCACGATGGCGCCATACAAGGCAGGCTGGAGAGCCCCACCCCCAGAGCCTGTATGGCAGGCTCCTCTTCTTGTTGCCTGCCTTGCCAGGTCTCCACCCTGGCCTCACCATCTCAGGAAGGAGCGAGACTAGGGAGGACTGTGTGCCCAGCCCTCCCAGACACAAGCTGGAGTCACAGGGCATCCAAGAAGAGACTCAGGGAAGGCTGGCCTCCTGCTACCCTGGCTGCCTCCTCCCTCCTGCTCAGGCCCCGTGATCCCTGCTATTCCTCCAAAGGCCTTCAGCTTGGTGTTGCATCAGAGCCCTTGCTCTGCCATCTCCACAGCATAAGACCCCTTCCTCCTCCTCACGCAGCTCCCCTGGCATTTTTTTCTCACATTGCCCTGCCCACCTTCTCTACCTCAACAGTCATTCTCTCCTGTCCCACAAACCCAGTATTTCTTTTTCCCACCCCCAACTGTGGGCGCCATGAGGCCGAGGACTTTGTCCTGGGAGCCCAATGTAGATCCTGGCAGCCAGCTACTAACAAATGACAGTTGAGGGAGTGAATGAACAAATGAAGGGGAGAGAGAAGATAAACAGGTCAGCGACACACAGGACATTCTGAATCTGACAGTCCCAAAGGTGGCTTTGATTGAGGGTTGTGTGAGATTTTAGATATACTGAAGTGTAAACTGTTATGGGATTCAGAACTGGTTAAACACAGTAGTGTCCAAAGGCCACCAAGGTGAAGGTTGGGGTCCTCTGAGGGGAAGGACGGAGGCTTTTCTGAGGATGAGATCTGATCTGGGATGTAACAAGTGGAGAGGAGATGGCCACGTGGGTGTTCTCAGAGAGGCTACAGCAAGTGCAAAGGGCCTGAGGCAGGAACAGCTTGACCCTGGAGGAGATGAAGAGAGCATGCTGGGCCTCAGTTCTCTGTTCACTGATTACTGATTGAGACCCTGAGTTGGCACGGGCTGGGGACTATAAGAGGTCAGGGCATTTAATCTTTTCTCTTATTTACTTTCTTTTTGGTGGTACTGGGGTCTGAACTCATGGCCTGGGGGCTTCCAGGCAGGTGCTCTACCACATCATCCACATCTCCAGAACTCCAGCCCCTAATCTTTTTTTTTTTTTTTCCTCTTATTGTTTTCCAGAACTTAGCACTAGCTAGGAAAGCACTCTACCACTTTAGCCCTGGGGAGTTTAAACTCGAAAGTGAAAAAAACGAGGCTTGGAGTGGTCTTTGACTCAATGTCTGAGCCAGGATGGGATGAAACACGTGTCTGGGACGTGCCTGCCTTGACTCAGGGGACACTCACCTCATGTTGAAGGGCGCCATGAGCCGCACCACGTATTGCCGATCCTTAGGCAGCTTGAGTTTGGGGATCTTTGACGGGTCAAAGTCCGGCGGGTAGTATTTCTGCAGGGAGGAAGGCGGTGTCAGGGGTGGTTTTTTCTGATGCAGAGGCAGGCAGGCCATGGGCGCAGGGAAGAGGGATCTGGAAGCTGTGATGGGGGACCCAGGAGCACCCTAGTTCCATGATTGGCAGGGAGGATTCCCAGAACCCGGCTACACCTATCACCACTGCATGGTATATTCCAAGCACAATTAGCCAGGGGACAAGGCCCAGGGGTAACATACAAGCTTCCAGAATCTTCTCCCGGCAGAGTAACAGGATGCTCAGAACTCCTTCAAACAGTTGGAACAAGTGGCAGGAAATGCTGTCCTCCATGAAGCTTCTAGAGACCCCAAACCTTTTTTTTTTTGGTGGTATTGGGGTTTGAACTCAAGGCTTCCTGCTTGCTAGGCAGGTACTCTACCACTTAAGCCACTCTTCCAGCTCCTGAGCTCCCAGGCTTTTTTGGGGGACTCATGACATGGGGGGTCACGTAGTCCCTTATGCTTAATGGGGTGACTCTACAGATTCCTACAAGGAAACCTGGGGTTCAGCATGAACGTTCTCGTTGGCACAAACTACACAGATACAGACAACTGTCTTGACCAGGACAGGACACCGTTCGGAAATTCCAGCTCCCAGACAAGGGCAAAAGCTGGTCAGCACCTTTCTAGGCAGGCTGTCTCAGGTCTGTCCCACACAGGAGCCCAAGGTGTGAAAAAGGGGATGAAGGGGCAGTGAGTGTGAGTTATCAAAAGCACCCCCAGTCAGGTGCACGGCCTGTCATCCCAGTAGTTGGGAGGTGGAGGCAGGAGGTGTGAGTTCAAGGCCAGCCTGGATTACTGACCGAGACTCTGTCTCAAATACCCAACAACAAAAAAAACCCTCCACCACTAATGGAAAAATCAGAAAATAAGGCGCTGTGTGTTTTGAGCACTTAGTGGGCGCCAGTCAGCACACAGAGCACGCTATCTTCCTTGCGTCAAAGAATCCTAGCAAAGAATCTAGGAGACGGAGATCAAAATGCACCCACTTTACAGAGGAGGAAACTGAGTCCCCCAAGTTTCAGTTACTCAGGATTTAGATCTGGTGACATGACTCTGGGGGAAACTGGTGTGACACAGTGTAGGTCCATGGGCCAAAGGACTCCAGATGCTCCCCTCACAAGTGAGTGGAACCGAGGAACTTTGGAGGGTCTCCCGAAACACTAAGCAAAAACCTAATGCCTCCAAGGAACATGATTGGCTAGAGACGCCAAAGGGCGGGGCCTATGAGACACTCCCTCAAAGGTGATTGGATAATAACCTTCGGGAAACTCAATCGAATGAAGCGAGGTCGTAACGAAACCAAGCTCCGCCCTCCACGGTACTCCCAGCCCGGAAGGGAAGCCTTAGCGAAGGCCCACCCCTCAAGAAAGGTGATTGGGAGGAGTTTGGGAAGCCCCGCCCGGATTTCCAAAAGGAACTCGCAACAAAGAATCCCGCTTCTCCCGGAGCTTCCAGATATCCCGATCCAGATAGAAATCCATTATGGCCGAACACTTACGTTTAAGACTTTGCGCTCCGACATCTTCGCCTCTTACTCTTCTCTCAAGCTTTGATGAACTGGATAGGTTAGGTCTTTATGGAGACACTCCGGCGTTTTAGCCTACTTCCGTTGTCGTCACTTCCTTCGGCCTCTATTACTGGCTACAGCTTACACAGCTGCCTTTCTTATTGGCTCTGATCCCTGTCTATCAAGCTCTGAGTCTTTCTATCTTCCCTCCGGAGTTGCAACGTCAGTAGCGGGAAATAAGAGTTCCGGGATCCTCTGGATTGGAGAAGTAGTTTTACGGATGCTCTGCGCCCCCTAGAAGTCAGAAGCGACTGGATAAAATTTTGTCATGACTTGGCTGCTGGACCTGACGCTACCTGTTCTTCATTCTTTTTTACAGCAAATATGTATTTAGCGCTACGCTGTGTGCTGTGTTCCTTGGTGCTCACACGGAACTGGAGGTTCCATCTGTCTCGCAGAGGACAGCCACACCCGCGTTATCTTCATCACAGACATAGAATTAAAGATCACGGTCCAAACCCATCCCAAATACACAAGGCTCTCTCATATGTCCTTCCACTGCCCACCTGTGCCTCCCGCCTCCTCTCCTTTCATCGTTTATTGTTTTTTTGTGGTGGTTGTTTTTGGTGGAACTGGGATTTGAACTCAGGGCTTCATGCTTCCGAAGCAGATGCCACACCCTCCAGCCCCTTTTAGTATGGTTAATTTTGGAGATAGGGTTTGGCGAACTATTTGCCCAGGCTGGCTTCAAACCTCGATCCTCCTGATCTCAGCCTCCCAGGTAGCTAGGATTACAGGTGTGACCTACTGATTCCCATCAAGATTAGTTTTATACCTCGCTCAGTAACTGGGGCTGTAACAGGTATTCAAACTGCTTACGCTAAAAAGTATAGACACCTTACTTGGGCCTACACATCAACTGAAAGCAAGAGAAAAGCTTGGCATCCCAGCCTCCACTTTGGTATCTGTCTTTGTTCTGAGCCATTCACCTTGCAGCCACCTTGGAATGCAGGAAGGGCAGGACCAATCGATGACAGAACAGCAGAGCCTCCTCAAGACCAGCCAACTGCCAGGCAACAGGGACTTGCTTATCTGACCAAATTGCTTCCCTCAAGTGATGACAGGGATAAAAATTCTGGAACCCCTCCCCAAACCAGGACTGAGGTCATGATCAACCAAGCCACACCATGACTGGGACCGATTAACTATGCATACCGCTCATGCCCTGCACTAATTCTTTTTCTATTTAAACCTAGAGTTCATGTCTGCTTACTGTGTCTCTTCCCATGGTGGCCCCATGCAGCGTCCTAAACCTCATTTCTCTGTCTTCACCACTCTTCATTTGGCATGTGGGGAACAATCCCAGTGCAATAGGGTTGCAAGGTGGGACTTTCAGAGGTGACACCCCTCCTGACTTAGTGGAGGGAAAGGCCTTGCCCATGTGATGCAGGAAGAGGTACCCTCCGTCCCTTTTGGACTTCACAGCTTCCAGAACCATGAGCCAAATACATTTCTGTTCATTATCAATTACCTGGTCTGAATCGGTGTTGTGGTACCTATGATCCCAGCACTCAGGAAGCAGAGTTCGAGGCTAGCCAGTGCTACATAACAAAACGCAGTGTCAAATGCATAGGTGATAAATAAATACCCACTCTGATTTTGTTACAACAGCACAAAAGAATAAGACAAGCCCTCAAGAGCTCACTATCTGATGGTAAAATAAACAAAAAGAAACTTTGGCCAGGCACCAGTGGCTCACACCTGTACAGAATCCCAGCTACTCAGGAGGCAGAGCTCAGGATTGAGGTTCAAGTCAGCCCAGCTAAATGGTTCATGAGACCCTATCTAGAAAATGCTCCCCCCCAAAAAAAGGACTGGTGGAGTGACTTAAAGTGTAGCCCTGAGTTCAAGCCCCAGTACTGTTAAAAAAAAAAAAAAAGGAACTTTGTAGGCTGGGGTAAGGGGAAGTGTGTGAACAGGAATGGGAGGAACTATTTTTTTTATTTTTTGCAGTACTGGGACTTGAACTCAAGGCCTCCCATTTACTAGCCAGGTGTTCTACTACTTGAGCCATGCCCGTGGCCCATGCGAGGGACTGCTCTAGAAGTGGATGGCTTTACCATGGTTGTTGTAACAGTGACTATGAACTCAGTGTATAAAAATGAATTATAGTTCTGTAGGTCAGAACTCAAAAATTGAAGAGCAGTTGGACACTGGTGTGCAGGAGGAGCTCATGAGTCCCAGAGTTCAAGGCTAGCCTAGGCAGCCTGCTTTATCCTGGAGGCTCCAGGAGGGAATCTGTTTCCTTGACTTTTCCAGCATCGAGCGGCCACTGCATTCCTGTTTTTGACTCCACCTCATCCACCCTCTGCCTCCACAGTCATTTTACCTTCTACCAGTCACTAGGACTGTCTCCATCTTTTTTTTTTTTTCCCAGCACTGAGGTTTGCTTGCTGGGCAGGCATTCTACCACTTGAGTCACTTTTTTTGTGTGTGTGATTATTTTTTTTGTTTTTGAGATAGGGTCACACAAACTGTTGCTCAGCTGGCCTCAAACAGCAATCCTCCTGATCGCTGCCTCCTGAATAGCTGGGATTACAGGCATGAGGCATCGGCACCCTTGGGACTATATCAGGCCACCCACATGCAGCAGGACAATGCCCCTTAATTTCCATTAATTTAAACAAAGATCTTAGTCTTTAAGGATCCTCAAGAGTCTTTCTTTGTTTTTGTTTTTGAGACAGGATCTGGCCCTGCAGTCCCTGTTGAGCTGGAACTCGTGATCCTCCAGCCTCAGCCTCCTGAGTGCTGAGAAGACAGGCAGGTGCCACCACACCCAGCTGCAAGTGTCTTAATTTCATCCCACCTGCTGTGGTGAGTACCATATTCACGAGTTCGGGGGGCTAGGGTTTTCATGTTGGAGTGGGGGTGTATGTGACTTTTTTTTTTTTTTTAGTTGGACTGGGGTTTCAACTAAGGGCTTCAGGCTTGCAAAGCAGGTTCTCTACCGCTTCAGCCACACCTGCAGTCCATTTTGCGCTGGCTATTTTGGAGATGTTTTCTTCAGAACTATTTGCCTGGGCTGGCCTCACACTTCAGTCCTCCAGAGCTCAGCCCCCCAAGTAGCTAGGATTACAGGTGTTGAGTCACACGTGGCCAGCTACAGGTGACTTTTGACATGAGACCTGAATGCAGTCCCCAGATCAAGCATGAGTTTTCTCTGACATTTAGTCCATGCTCCCTTTCCTGCTCCTCAGGGCCATCTTCACAGACTGTCAACCTCACTTTCTACAGGGACTCACAGCTGGGCAGCTTTGGGGGAAGTAAATGGACAAAATTGCTGACTGGATTCTGCCACCCATTCCAGGAAGAGCCCTCAGTGACCCCATCTTGACTTCCCCAGATCCTGGTTTGTCCATCTGGTCTAGCCCTGAGCCACAGGGAGTGGGGATTTGTTGGGTCTGTTTTCTGTCTTTTGCATCTCAGATTTGTCACTGAGTGCTGTTTGGGCCTCTTCCGGAATAATGGAGGCGTTGTGCTTTGAGTGAGTCTCCAGTGTTCAAGAGCCAGACACGATTTATTTTGCAGTGCTGGGGATGAACCCAGGGCCTCATGCTCCCCACTGAACCATACCCCAGCCCTATGGGATGAAAAGTTAATCCCTAGTGCAGTTGTGCACGAGTGGGACCTGTGGCTCAAGTCGTTGAACGCCTGACTAGCAGGTGTGAGGCCCTGAGTTCAAATCTCAGTACCACATAAAAAAGAGTGAGACCTTTATGAGGTGATTAGTGAGGGCTCTGCCCCCACTATTCCACGTTCAGTGGGATCACTAGAAATTGATGATCTCAGCAGAGGGTTAGTCATCTGGACAGTGTCCTCTGTATAGAACGGTAAATTGGACCTCTTCCCCTCTTCCACCCACGTCTCCCTTACCCTTGCACATTCCACTATGGGATAGTACAGCCAGAGGGCCTCACCAAATGCTTTCTCCTTGTTCTCTGACATCCCAGCCTCCAGGACTATGAGCCAAATCAATTTGCATTCATTATAAATTACCCAGTCATTGCTGGGCACAGTGGTGCCCACCTGTAATCCCAGCACTTAGGAGGCTGAGGTGGGAGGATGAGAGCTATGTTTGAGATCCTGTCTCAAAAAGAAATGATGCAGTCTGTGGTGTTGTTATAGCAGAAAAAAAAGAGGAAGAAAAATAGACTGAGCCAGAGTCATCCTCCTTCCAAAAATAATTTTACTAATTAAAATATCTAATTAAAAATATCTGACATTCACAGTTAATGAAGCCCTGCACTATGATAAAAGGAGAGAGTATTTTCCCATTTCCCAGGTGGGGAGATTGAGGCTCAGAGAGGCAAAGTCACTGGTCCCAGAATGTCCAACAGCTCAGCAGCAGCAGGTCAGCATGCAAACCCAGTTTCAGGCAGACTCCACGCACCCTCAAGTGGACATCAGCAGGGGGTGGAGTCAGAACCCAGGCCCTCCTTAGGGGTGCTGGGAACCCCCCAATACTTGCCAAGGGTGAAGGGGGTAGTGCCAGGGAGACTCCAGTCACTGGGCTCCCCATAGTCCGTGAGGTCCTGAGCAGCCACCTGGATGCAGTACCTGGCGTGGGGCCGCACAGCCCTGAGCGTGAAGGACGTAGCTTCGATGGGCCCCACCTGTGAGGAGAGAGGAAGCTGGACTCATGCATGGAACCAGGCATTAATCTTTCCCCTCCCTGCTGGCTCAGGCCCAGGACTCAGCTCCCAATTGCCCACCCTGCATGGCCTGCCCTAAGCAGTCCTGTCATTATGGGAGTGGCTTGTGTGTCCCTCAAGTCTTCATGCATTGAAAGTCAACCCCATTGTGAGGAATCCAGAGGATGGAAACCTACTCCATCCACGGTGTGTAGAGGTGGGGGCCTCCAAGGGTTAAATAACATTATCAAGATGGAGCCCCTATAATTGGACCCTGAGAGAGCCAGACCAATGCTGGTGGCTCACGCCTGTAATCCTAGCTACTCAGGAGGCAGAGATCAGGAGGATCATGATTCAAAGCCAGCCTGGGAAAATACTTTGTGAGACTCTATGTAGACAAAAGCTTTCACACACACACACACACACACCACACACACACAAAGGGCTGGTGCAGTGGCTCAAAATGTAGGCCCTGAGTTCAAAGTTTTTTTTTCCAGCACTAGGAAAAAAAAAGAAAAAAAAGAAGAGAAAGACATGAGAGACATGACAGACACCTGCCACCTCAGGACACTGCCAGCAAGAAAGCCATCACCACATGCAGTTCCTCAACATTGCAACAGAGCCATGAGCCACACTAAGCCTCTTCTCTTTTCTTCTAACATTTACAGACTTGGGTATCCCGTTATAGTAACGAAAATCTGACTAATGTAACCGTTCACATCTCTGGTCCTTTTGAGTTCTAACCTCACTGGATTTCAGTGCTCAGACTTGGGGATCCCTCCTGGACCACACTGGGAACCCCAGCCCCAAATATCCTCTCCACCCTCAGAGCCTGGGGTCTTCCCTTCCCCCAGCTGCTCGGTACTCATGGTGGTTTTTTTTCCTGTTCCATCCTGTGCTTTCACTTTTCAAAATTCTTGCTGGCAGGGAGAGGTCCCCTCCCAGGGTCAGGCACTTCTTAGAGATGGCAAAGGGTTTGACCAGAGGGCAACTTTCATTTGCAAATTGGCTAGTCCCATGTCTAAATTCCCAGCCACTCCCTTCTCCGATGGTCCCGCCCAAGCCAATAATTCCCTGGCTGAGTCACCCTGGGGCTGGGGACCAGGCCTGGAGGCCACCGTGCCCTGCAGCCAGAGCTTGCTGAATCCTCCCCTGCCTTTCCTGCAGAACCCCCAGAAAGTGGACCCTGGCCTCCCCCTTGCTGTGCCTTGGTGTCCTGAACAAAGCCCAGGGCGTCCTGTGTGCCCCTGCAGGGACTGGTCCTGGAAATCCCAGTAAGAAATTCTTCTTCCAAAAGCGTTGGCTTCTCTGTTGTCCCTCTGTGAATGAAAGTCCTGCAGGTGCAAATGAAACCTCTCCAGCTTTGTCCTTCCTGTCCCCAGAACTCCACAGTCCCCCTTCCAGAACGTTCCATTCCAGGCCCTCCTCCTTCACCCAGGCCTGACATACTCTCTCATGGCTCCTCCAGACTTGTCCCATGAAGTCACTGGATATGGTTTTAGAATTTTCAAGTTTAGATTAATGTTACAGTGGCCCTTTGAATCTGAGGGTCAACATCCACCTGTTTTAGGGAAAAACACTTGTGTCTGTTTGAACAGGTACAGATTTTTTCTTTTCTTTTTTTTTTTTATGCGGTCCTGGGGTTTGAACTCAGTACCTTCACCTTGAGCCACTCCACCAGCCCTTTTTTTGTGATGGTTTTTTTTCAAGATAGGGTCTCATGAATTATTTGCTGGGGCTGGTTTCGAACTGATCTCTGCCTCCTGAGTAGCTAGGATTTCAGGCATGAGCCACTGGTGCCCAGTTTAAGACTATTTTCTTGTCATTATTCCCTGAGCGATACAATGTAGCAACTGAGTAGATGGCACTGACTTTGGAGCAGGCGTTACAAGTCATCTAGAGGTGGTGGGAAGTCTGCCGGAGGATGTGCACATGTTCTGTGCTAACTACACCATGTGCATCAGGGATCCGAGCATCCACGCAGTTCGTGGACCAGTGCCCTGTGGATATCAAAAGGCATGTGCTCAAAGCCACTGATTTTGTGCTTTCAAAGGGTGAATTCTTTTTTTTTTTTTTTTAGTAGTCCTGGGGTTTGAACTCGGGGCTTCACACTTACAAAGCAGGTGTTTTACCACCTAAGCCACTCCTCCAGTCCATTTTGCTCTAGTTATTGTGTAGATGGGGTCTCAAGAAATATTTTCCCCAGCTGTCTTTGAACTGCGATCCTCCCCAACTCAGCCTCCCAAGAAGCTAGGATTACAGGCATGAGCCACCATGTCCGGCTCAAAGGGTGAATTCTATGTGAACTTAAAAATTCCAAACACTGAATGGGGGTGTGGCTTGTGGTAAAGTGACTACCTAGCAGGACTTGAGGCCCTGGGTCCAATCCCCAGTACCACAAAAAAACAAAAAACAGAACAAAATAAAAGATGGGCACTTATGGTTCCTAGCCTGTAATCCTAGCTACTCAGGAGGCAGAGATCAGATTGCTGTTCAAAGCCAGCCACAGGGCTGAGAGCAGAGCAGAGAGGCTAAGGGCAGCTGGGTGTTGGGAGCGGACTATGAAAAGCCTATGAGAACTGGACCTAAGCAAGGCGACATGCGGCTTAATTGCTTTTACCTGTGGGCCGAGATAGGCACAGCCCTGGTCAGGAAACAGGAAAAGCAGAACAGCTGTTTTCCTAAGCTTGTGTTCAGAGAAACAGGAATGTAAGTTTCTCCTGCTACAATGTCACGCCCCTCCCCGAGAACCGCTGCTCCACCCAGTTTGCAGCTGTTTATAAAACACCCCTGAGGAGGCCTGGGGGCTTGTGCTTTTTTGCCTTTGTCTTTTACTTTGGGCCTTGGAGGGTTTTCTGGGCTTTGGCTTTGGGCATTTTGGTGTGGGAAGTTTTTGGAAGGGAAAAGAATTGCTGAAGGGAAAAGAATGGCTGAAGAGGGGTTGATAGAAAGTCTGCACCGAGAACTTTAACCTAGGCCTTAGACGCTAAAGAAAAGCCCAAGAGAATGTGTGACAGTGCAGATAGAGGACTGAGAATTTGCAAGTCTGAGCACCATGGCTTTAAGAAAGCTAAAGAGAGAATGCTAAAGAAAAGCTGCAAGCCTGGGGGCAAAAGACTTTAACAGCAATTTGGCTAAAGATGAGCTGAGAGCAAACATGGGACAGTGCAAGTCTAAGGAACGAGGTTTTAAGCAAAGTTTTAAAGAACTTCAAGGAGAAAGGCCTTGAAGAATCAAGATAGAGGAAAAGCAATGAAGGTTGTGCATCTCCACCCAAGCATCCAACACACCTGGCTCCACTGTCTATCTGTCTGTCTATCCTGTGTCTTTTCTGAGTCTCCAGTCACCCCCAGTTAAGCCCAGTGAGGTTCAGTAATACCCAGGAGGGAGAGAGAAAGCAGAAAACAGTGCCCCCTGCAGCTGGGTGTTCCTGGAAAGCTTTGAGACCCTGGGCTGTGTGGAGCTGTAGGCAGAACACAGGTTTTGCAGTGAGATAGTCAGGGCTGCCACAGTGGCAGCTGGTCCCCCTCTGGCCAGGGGCAGTTCCGCTCTCCACAATGGCCTTTACGAACTTCAGCCACCAGGACCAGATTCTCTCAGAGGACACAGACGGGCTTCCCATCGTCTCACCAGCCTGGTAGACCCCTACTGGACTCCAGTCCATGTTTCTTCTGTCCACTTCCAGGTTTTCATCCCATTTTGCATCAAGGTAAGAGGTTGTCAAGACATCAACTCCCATCCCCCAAAGCTGGGGAATTTAAATAAAGTCACCCCATCTCTGAAGCCACAGGAAATGTCTTTGGGTCAACAGGGAGGGTAAATACACCCTGCTTTGTGCCTTTTATGACCAAGAAAAAGACTTAGTAAATAATGACGGATCATTTTTATTATAATCTTTTTTGAGACAGGATCTTACTATGTCACCCAGCCTAGTCAATTATAATTTTAAGATACTAATAGCTAACATTCTGTACATACTAATTGTTCAGCCAGCGGCCCATGCCTGTTATCCCAGCTACTCAGGAGGCAGAGATCAGGAGGATCAGGGTTCAAAGCCAGCCCAGGGAAATAGTTCATGTGACCCTATCTTGAAAAAACCCTTCACAAAAAAAGGGCTGGTGGAGTGGCTCAAGGTGAAGGCCTGAGTTCAAATCCCAGTACAGCAAAATAAATGAGATTTATGTAACATAAACATTTAAAGTGGACAGTTCAGTGGCATAAATTTTTTAGCATACACAAAGTTGTGCAACCAACACCTCTAATTCCAGAACATTCCAATGCCCAAGAAAGCCTTGTCCCCAGGGGCAGCCACCCTGCCGTTTCTCCAGCCTCTGACCTCCACAAGTCCACTTCCTGTCTCAGGATTATCCTGTTCTGGAAGTTTCCTGTCCATGGAGCCCCATGCTGTGGGGGCCTTGTGTGTCTAATACACTCACTGAGCACCATGTCCTCAGGGTTCTTCAGAGGCTGTTCCTGTTCATGGATGTGTAATATGCCAGTGTGTGAATGGATCAAGCTGTGTGTCCATTTGTCCTTCCATGGACACCGGGCTTTCCCTGCTTTGGCTTTTGTGAAGTATGCTACATCGAGCTCGTGTATCCAAGGACTTGTGTGAATTCCTGACTTTCAATCTTTTGGGTCGACACCCTGGTTGCTTTTATTCTACACACTGCTAGCCCCAAGCTCTGTGCAAGGCCCCAAAACAGTGCCTGCTGCCTCTTGCAGGGTCCCTTGGCTCCCCCTGGACCCCCCTTGTCCTCCTCACCTGGCGGAATCGAGTGGCCCCATGACGTTTGTAGCGGATCCAGTACTTGAGAGAGAAGATGTCCGGGAAGGGCCAGGACTGTGGGGGCTGCCACTGCACCTGCAGCTGCTGTCCAGGGACAGGGCACAGGCGCACACCTTCCGGAGGGTCTGGCTTGACTGATGGGGCAGCAGGAAGCAGGGTCAGGGAACCCAGTGGCATCTAACCTCTCACTCACTCACTCAGTGACTCAACCAACAAGTGCGAATTCGGCACCTTTCATTACGCCTGGCAGAGGACACAGGGTGACCAACACTGCCCCGCCAGGGACAGACAAAAACAAGCCAGCAGGTTGTACAGGGCAGGGGAGAAAAGTCCAGGAGGCCAGTACAGAGGGGTGGCGACTTTTGAGGATGTAAATCACAGATCACAAAACTCACCACTGTGGAGTGCAAACTCATGGATAATTCCAGAACATTCTATCACTCCAAAAGGAATCCCTGCCCCATCAGCCATCACCCTCTCCCCTCCCCAGCCCTGGTCTCCACAAGTCCACTTCCTGTCCCCGGATTCCTGGTCCTGGATATTTCCTATCAACAGTCACAAGGCTGTGGGGGCTCGTATGTCTGCTTCTCTCACTGAGCACCATGACCTTAGGGTCCCTCCATGTTGCCAGAGCCTCGTTCCTGTTCATGGCTGAGTAATATTCCAGTGTGTGGCTGGACACTGTGTGTGTCCTTTCATACACAGATGGGCACAGACTGTCCTCGCCATTTGGCTGTCAGAAATAATGTTGCATGAATGTTATGAACAAGTGTTTTTTTTTTTTAAGAGAATGTGAGTTTTCATTTCTCTCGGGTGGAATAGCTGGATTATAGAGTATCAGTGCACAGCACTTTCAAGGATGCTAACCTGTTTTCACCCATGTTGGGGTTAACAGTGAGGACAGCCATGTTAGGACCAGACCCCCTCCCACCTTGCAGGTGGCTCCCTAGAAACTCCCCCACCCAACCCCAAAGACTGACAAAGGGACAGTTGTTAACCTTTATCTCTGGATAGGTGCCAAGGACAGTTGGGCAGACAGTGACCTAACTACAACTTATCTTTCTTGATTGCCCAGCAACAATATCCCTTAGTGACCTTCCTGGTACTTTTCCACTAGCCCCCTATATCTAGCCCAAGCCTGTGTATGGGTTCTAGCTCTCTTGCTGGGGTCTCCCTCCACAGAGCTCCTGCCTAAAAATAAAGCCTATTACTGGTGTTTGAGCCATCTCTCTGCCTCTTCCATGCCTCTTATTTTCTAACTTTTGGTGTTAGAAAACCAAACCCGGGAGAGAGTTTCTAGTGAGGAGGAACAGCATTCATCCTCAATCCCCCTGACCTCTCTCCAAATCTCTCTCTCTCTCTCTCTCTCTCTCTCTCTCCTCTCTCCCTTCTTTCCCTCCTCACCATCCTCTATATGACTCTTAACTATTATATTTCCCATTCCTCTGTGACCTCCTGCAGGGCCCTCGGCCTCTCCTCTGCACTCCATGGTGCCTCTGTGTGTGAGTCTCCGGCCATTCTTGCGTTCAGTGTTCCTCTCTCTCCCCTTCCTCTCCCCCTCCAGCCATTTGGCCCCTGGCTACATAGGTTAAAGACTACCTACTGCCCCATGTTCATTTTTCCAGTTTTGCAAGATTTCTCTAGGGGACCCTAGGAAAAACTTCCTAACCCTCGCCATGGGCAATGCCCACTCAGAGATTCCCTCTGCCTCACCCCGGGGTGTCTTTTACACAACCCTATAAACTGGGCCTAAAAGGCGATCTAAACCCAAAATCCTCATCAGTTTCTCTACGAAAATTTGACCTCAATACAAATTAGATAATTCCTCTAAATGGCCCAAATTTAAAACTTTTAACCCCAATGTCCTCTGAGACCTAAACAACTTCAGTGTGAGAAATGGCAAAGAACAAGAGGCTCCCTATTTCCAGGCTTTCTTCCACCTTAGATCCCGACCTTCCCTTTGTTCACACTGCCAGGGAATATAGGTTTGACTCCAGCTCTCCGCTGTCACAACCTAAAAAGTGACAAACAACAACAGCTCTTCCCAGGTTCATTCTGGGCCCCTAAATGGAGGCTGGAGTCCCCCCCCCCCGTGTTCCTCCCCCCCAGTTCCCTGCTGCCTCTCCCTCCCTTTTCACTGTTCTATCTCCCCCACCCTTTCCTTCCTTTCCTTTCTTTGATGGCTCCATCAGGGACCACTCCCCATTGCTGGGCCCTCCATCCAACACTGGTCTTCAATTTTGGTGAGTTTTCCCCTTCATCCAGATTTCTCTCTAGTCCTACTGTGGACCATGGAAGCACCGGCCAGGCAAGAGACTCCCTCTGTCCACCCCTCACCTAGTATTTTCTGGGGATGCCTAGAAAATATACAGGTTCACTGTCCCCGAGGCATCTCATAGACTATCAGTGGGTAGTAAAGACGCTCCTGCCCTCTGATAAGTCTGTCCTACCAGGCGGGACCATGATGGGGATTATTCACCACCTTTTTCCACAAAAATAAGCCAGAACCCCCTGAGGGACAGTCCACTGAGATGTCTCCTCCCAAACCGCCAGACCCTGGGTCACACAGAAATCTTAAGCCTGAACTGATTTTCTAATGTAACGCAGGCTGACACCAATATAAATTGGACAAAACAGGACATTTTCAGTTTCCAAGTTCAGCATGATTGAAAAACTTCCTGCAGTGCTATGGGACATGGCGTAAGGTTTCCCTATGTCTAGCTTCGTTTCTCTCCCTCTAGACTCTCCCTCTGTCCATCTTGTTCACCTCATCATATTTTCCTCCTAAGCAAAAATCCCCCTGGCGTGCCTCTGTCCTCCTCCTCTGACTGTGCCCAACTCTATGTCCTCCTTCCCCCTTCCTCATCTCGCAGTATATAAAAAAGCTTTCACTTTAAAACTCTTCTCTCTGAATCCGTCTCGGCCATCATGGAGGTTTCTTTCACCTCTTCTGGACTGGTCATCCGAGTGAGGACAGCAAAGACAGAGATAGACAAGAAAAAGGAAAGAAAGAAAGAAAAAAGTCCTCCTCAAATTATATTGTCAGTTTTCTTAGCCTCTGGAGCGACTCACACAATCCCAGGACTGCAAACATAAAATCAATTATAAATCTAAATGACATATGGCTGAGGATTTGAGATACTTTTCTGTCTCAACCTCCTGGATTTTTTTCTTCCTAATGCTAAGCCTCTAAGTCCGCCTAAACACTCACTAACAGCTTTCTCCTTTAAGTCTCGCTTTTGAGCTGGGCAGTTTTCCCATTGTAGACATGTCAAGGCCGGGAGGGGAACCAGATCATATCCAGGACACTGCAGGTGGTGACCCTGGGCTGGCCTGTTTGCTGTCCTGGCCAAGCTGCCATGTGATCAGAGTTATGGACTCACGACTCAGTCCCACAAGTGCACAAGCTGGAGGGACCAAGGACACAATTTGAATTCTCCATCTAAAATGCCCCATGTGTTTAAAACTAAAATGTCAGTATTCCAGGTTATGACACTGACTAAAAGGCAAAAGCACAGCCTTCCGGGATTCTGCTATGGATTCAATCAGGCATTTAGATATTTTTTTTATTAGGCCCCTTACCTAAAGTCTTCAGGGCTGAGCTCCCTAGCTCTGGTTCCAGTAGAAATGTCATCCTTTTTACCACAACACTCTGCCCTTTGTCCAGCCTGTCATACTAATCCTAATTTTAAAACAAAATTTTAATATAAAATAAGAGAATAAACTTGTGCAACCCCTCGTGCGTCCCATGTCCTTTGTCTGACAAGGATGGTATGCCAGCACCATACCAAGCCTAGGCTCCAGCAATTTACTTTAAAGGTTTGGCTAAAACGCTACTGTAACTGAAGGTAAGTTATCATTAGAGGTTATTTTTAAAAAAACACCCTCTAGAGGTAATCTAAAGCCTTCAATATCTAAGAGTGCACTTAAAGTAATGGTTTCATATCATTGTGTAAACTTTGTGATGCCTATTGTATGACTAACTTATTAGAGACAAAAATCTAATAGCTGCGACAACAGTCTTATTAAAAATTGAGACTGACTTTGAATACTTTCCTAAAATTGACGCTTACTTCAGCTATCAAGCCGCCCAAAATAAGTCCTAAAAGAACAGAATGGGACACACCTCAATCTGCTCCTAAAAATTAAAAAAATAATTGATCCGTGTATTTATGGCCACTCAGTTCATTTTTACACATTCTTGAACTCTTGAGTCTATGCACACTTAAATTGACGTTTATGGCCTGCTTGATTTAAAACTTTTTACATATGCATGATTCTTATTATAGTGTTAATGTAAAAAAAAAAAAAAAACTCTGTTCTCTTCTCTCCCCACCTCCTCTGCTGCTGCTTTTAAGATAATCCAATTTTTTAATGTTTTATGGCAATCAGGTCTAAGTAGAATACAGGCATTATTTTATGGACAGTAACCTTAATCTGTTTCATCCTGGGTCAGTGTAATTTGCATTCAATTCTTTTATAATTAGGTCTATTAACAAATGGTGTCTTTATAAGTAACTTATAAGTACTTATTGTATAAAAAAACAGCTTAAGATTGTCTTTCTTAAAGGTTATAAAAAGGTATTAAATATTTTTGGAAAAAGTTAAGGGAAATAAAAAAATACTATTAAATGAAAAAGGATTTTATAAAAAGGTTTGCCTTAAAGATTGTTTCAAAAATGAAAAAGAGGGGAAAGGACAAACCATCATAAGATTCAAAATGTTATATAAAGGTTCTGAGTAGGTCTTAAAAATGTAAAATAAAAGCTTTGGCGTACGATAAAGTTAGTTGACTGTAATCTAGGAGTTACCTAAAAGATTTTATAAGGTCGTGTTAAACTAGAACCTGGTTCTCTATGTCTATAAAATAACAAAGCTATCTTAACATTGTTCTGCTCTAAGTAAGATCCGTAAAAAAAATCATAAAGAAAGATTTTATCAAAATAATTACTTGTGTTTTCTGTTGATCTTGTCAAACTTTTAAATTCCTCAAAAAACTAAGCCTTAACTAAACCAGAGTTCATTTAAGTATTTGTTCATGTAAAAGTCTCTTAAGTGACTTTTTCTTATATCTGTGCGATAAAACAACTGTTGTTTTGGGTAATTTTGGCACAATTGGTACAGTATAGGTTTGTGACTAAAAGTATGTAGAGCTCTGTCTAGACTTTACCTAAATATTGTATAAACATTGTCCGCTTAATATGTATAAAATGACCAGCTAAAGCTCGCTTATCCAAAAGCATTCCATTTAGACCTTCGACATATAAAATGGTTAATGAAACTTTTGGCAGTTCTGCTGTTTGTAATCAGTAACATTCAGAAACAACCTGCCATTTGGGCAATCCAGCTACTTAAAACCTGGCCTGTATTTGTCTTAGCCAAATAAGTGGCAATGTATATATAAAATGTACTTGTACATTAAAAAATAAGACTATTTAAAATCCCAGGCACTGTCCCCCTAACTTTTAAGAGATCTAAATTTTGACTTTCGTCAGTGCTCTATACCTATTATCTTACTAGCCAAAATTCTACATTTTGCTCCAAAAAAAAAAAAAAAAACCAAGACAAAACAAAACAAACTTCACCAAGCAGATGCACTGTGTCCATGTGCTCCTAATTGTAACAAGGAACACTCAGTGTTGCCTCTTTAATGCTGTCTACAATAAAAATAATAGATGTTCGCCCAGTTCCTAAACTACTTTTCAGCACTTTAACCCTGGCTGTTCTAAGTCTTGTCATTAGCAATCTGGGTCCTTCTCTGCAGCATTTGCAATCAAATCCCCAGAAATGATTCTGACAATTACCTATTATTCCGTTGAGTCAGCCTCTAAAAATTTTGTTTTTGTTGGCTTTTGGAAAACCTTTAATTTGTCTGTTGACATTCTGCAGCATTTTTAAGTTGTCAGGATATCATCTATAGTCCAGACAGAACTAAAAATGGATGCCAGGTAAGCCCACTTCTTCCAAACCTCTTTTGTTGCTTATAATTTGGCCAAATGGGTCTTAATTGGCACTGATTCCCACCTGACCTGCCTGGTCCTTCCCCTCCAATGTGGAAAACATCTGGAAAAGCTATTCTGGCACTAAGGGACTTTCATTAACCAAAACAGTTAATTGAAAAAAATCTTCACAGGGGACTCTTGAGAGACAGTTTGAAGACAAGAGGGGAAAGCTGTCGCAATCCAGATGGAGTCACTGTGGCAGACCTCACAAAAGTTACTAAAGCTGAGAGGTTTTAAAGAGGGATCTGCTAGACATCCAAGCCCTTGCAGGCACTTCTGACAGAACACAAACGCATATTTTAGGACAAGGCCTTCTATTTAAGTAAAGACATATTTGGGATGGGGGAGTGGCTCAAGTGGTAGAGCGCCTGCCTAGCAAGCTCAAGGCTCTGAGTTCGAACCCCAGTACCACCAGAAAAGAAAAAATGATTTATGATTTCACAATGTTTACATCAAAATGTATTAAAGTTTATTTTTAAAAAAAGACATATTATTTTTGCTGGCTCCAAACTTATCTTTTTAGTAGTCCCTGCTCATGGAGTTGTTTTCCCGGGTAGTCTATTTAACTGGAGTTTTCTGACTTTTACTTACTCTGTATTCTACTTGATAAAAATGTTTCCAGTTTTAAACTTAAATAGCAAGTTCTTTTGTCCCCTTTTCCTGTATTTGTCACTGGCCAAAAGACCCTAGTTCCCTGATCCCCAGGTACTTGGACTGCTTTTATTAAAAGGCACTGACTCCCTACTTGGGACCACAGAGTAACTAAAAACAGAAAACACAACAGCTCTCCATTCTGTCTACTGTCCTTTGCTCTGAGCCATTCTCTCCTCAGCCACCTTGGAGTCAAGAAAGGATAGAAATGACCGATGACATCTTTGTAACAAGGGACTGAAACTACCGCCAACCACAGACTCTACTCAGAATGAAACACTGTTCAGATAACAACCCCGGAACCTCTCCCCAAACCAGAACTGAGATGGTGACCGACCCAGTCTCACCTGTGGTTGGGACGGTTTCCTGTGCATGCCTTCATCCCCTGCCCCGAGTTCTTTTGTCTACCTAGGCCTGTAGCCGATGTCTGTACCCCAAGATCCCTTGGTTTTCCTTCTCATGCTGATAATCACTGGCCATGTGTGTTTAACCGCATGTCTCACCTTCTCCCCCAAAGCCTGCATTCCTTTACACAGGTTGCCACTCCAAACCACGCTGCCTCTACAGGAAAGATGCTGCTTTTATGTCAACTAGTCTGGGATTGTTCGTAAAATCCCTAAGAGACCACAAAATATGTGGCCAACCTCCAACAACAAACAACGGACAGCTGGGGACAGTGGTCTTTCTGGGCTAAAGGCTCTAGGCCTTTGTCCACATACTACCCAGATCAACTCAATCCTGCTCCTCCAACAGGCCTGCTAAAGCAAGAGACCCTGTTGATAACCCTCTCCTTAAGAGACCTCAACACCTTGCCTTGGCAAAAAGTAGCTAAATGAAATTTCATTGTCCTTTTTCCTAGCTAGCTAGCTAGCTAGCTACCAAAAGGCAGGAATGTTGGGGTTAACAGTGAGGACAGCCACGTTAGGACCAGACCCCCTCCCACCTTGCAGATGGCTCACTAGAAACTCCCCACCCAACCCCAAAGACTGACAAAGGGACAGTTGTTAATCTTTATCTCTGGATGGGTGCCAAGGACAGTTGAGCAGACAGTGACCTAATTACAACTTATCTTTCTTGGTTGCCCAGTGATGGTATCCCTTAGTGACCTTCCTGGTACTTTTCCAGTGGCCCCCCCTATATCTAGTGCAAGCCTGTGTATGGGTTCTAGCTCTCTTGCTGGGGTCTCCCTCCACAGGGCTCCTGCCTAAAGAATAAAGCCTATTACTGGTGTTTGAGGTACTGCTGTACCTCTTTCTAACAACTCACCTCCAGCAATTTTTTTATAATGAGGGTTGCAATTTTTAAGAATGTACTAAGGGGAGGAGGCCTCACTGAGAAAGTGACATGTGAGCAGAGACCTGAAGGAGGTGAAAAAATAACTCATGAGGATTTGGAGGAAGAGAATTCAAGATAGTGAGCACAGCCTGTGCAAAGGTCCTGGGGCAGGACAAGCCTGGGTGATGGAGGAGCAGCAAGGGGGCCGTGTAGCTGGAGCAGAGGGAACGAGGGGGACAGAGGGAGGAGGAGGCAGGGAGGGGACAGGGAGGACTTGGGCTTTGAGCCTGAGGGAGGTGGGAGCCATGGTGGGCTGTGTGCAGGGGAGGGAGGGACCTGACTCACGGGTGCCCCCTGGTGGCTCCTATGGGAGGACAGGTGGTGGAGGGCTTGGAACACAGGTGAGAAGGGAAGAAAGCACAGGTGTTTGATAGCCTGGAAGGTGGAGCAGCAGGAGGGCTGACAGCTACAGGTGGCCCACAGGGGTGGTGGGGACTGCACTCACTGATGTGCTCGACCACGAAGGACAGGAAGCTGCAGCTGGTGCCGCCTGGGTGCACGGCTGTGACGTTGAGCACATAGGGCACCATGGAGAACAGCTGCAGGTCGGCGATGGTGCAGCTGGTGGCCTCCGGCGTCTGCTGCAGGCAGGGCAGGCTCTCCCCAGGGACGGCCACGCCGAGCCTGGACACGGAGTGGCCCGTGAGGGTCTCAGCCTTTCCCGCTGGCCCTACACCCCCAAAGAGGGTGGACCCTGCAGGTCCTGGGTAAGGTCCTGCTTTGACTCTGTCCCCAGCTGGCTATGTGACTCCAGGGGAGGTTCCAACAGTTGGCAGGTCAGTGGGTTCAGTATGGAATCCAACTCACATTCTCTCAATTTGAGGAACATGCAGCGGTCAGACTTTAGGATGTTGGCCTGGGGTCAGCACTGGGCCATTGACCTTTCTGCAACATTAACAATGATCCAAGTTGGGCTTGGTGATATACGCCTGTAATCCCAGCACTTGGTTGGCTGACGCAGGAAAATCAAGAGTTTTAGGTCAGCCTGGGCTACATAGTGACGCCTATCTCAAAAAACAAAACCAGCTGGCGCTGGGGCTCACACCTGTAATCCTAGCTACTCAAGAGGCAGAGATCAGGAGGATCGGCGTTCACAGCCAGCTGGGGCAAACAGTTCATGAGACCCTATCTCGAAAATACCCATCACAAAAAGGACTGGTGGAGTGGCTCAAGGTGTAGACCCTGAGTTCAAGCCCCAGTACCGCAAAAAAAAAAAAAAAAAAGGAAACAATGCCCTGCCTCATTTGTTTGTTTTGGGGTGTTGGGGACGGAACCCAGGGCCTCACACATGCTAGGTAAGTACTCATCACCAAGTCGTACACCCAGTCCAAAATTAATATATTAAAAAAGCCGAAAACAAAAAACTCCACAAACACAAAAACACCAAGAACGAACAAAAAGAGAGACTGATATTTTGGATACTCATATTGCGTGATATTAAATTAACTTATCAATATAAATACACATCAGGTTACATTAAATCATACTATATATTTGGCATATTCAGATAATATTGAAGTCAGACATTAGAATTAACCTCACCCAGTGTCTTGCATTGTTTAACGTGGGTTCTAAAAAGCCTTTTTACTTTGCTTACATTAACGCAGGGTCTCCCCACTGCGTTAGTCCAGGCTGGCCTTGACTTTTTTTTTTTTGCAGCCCCACTGACCTGTAAGTGGCAATGAAGGATGTGGCTCTGGTGGAGTTGGGAGCTGGTGGCAGAGTCCAGGAGCAATCCACAGCAACTGGGTACCTAGAGGCACGGCACTGCACCCTGGGCTGGCCTGGAACCTCCGAGGGCCCCCCTGAAGGAAACAGAGAGTGAGGTGAGCCTCCGATTCACCCGACATTGTCACAGCCCTTGCCTTGCACTCAGCCCCCACTATCAATCAGTCACGAGGGGAACAGGCAGGAAGAGGTTCAGCTATATCCCTTTTGATCTTCCTAATTTTGGTTTTTTTTTTTTGGGGTGGGACCTGGGTTTGAACTCAGGGCTTTGCACTCACAAAGCAGGTACTCTACCACATGAGTCACCCCTCCAGTCCATTTTGCTCTGGTTATTTTAGAGATGGGGTCTCGAGAACTATTTGTCCAGGCTGACTTCAAACCACGATCCTCCCAAGTGGCTAGGATTACAGGCATGAGCCACCAGCGCCTGGCAGCGTATCCCTCCTCCCTCTCCTGTTTTTGCTCTGACGCTGATGGATGTGCACTGTATCCCAAAAAATGAATGCAGTTAGAATTTATCCCTCCAGTCGACCCTTCGTATCCGTGGGGCGTCGGTCTCCAGGTCCCCAGAACTCCCTCCCCTGTGGACGCTCAGGTCCCTTCTACAATATGGCATAGTTTGTACAGAGCCTGAGTTGTTCCTCCCATAGACCTTAAGTCATCTCTAGAGGACTGGGGACAGCTGATACAATGTCAGTGCTGTGTGCATACTTGTCACACTATATCGTTTAGGGACTAATGACAAGAAGAGTTCTGTACCCATTCAGTGCAGATGCAGTTTTTTCCCCTAATATTTTGTGTCCCCTGGTTGTTGAAGCCATGTGTGTGGAAGCTGTGGCCACAGAGGACCAACTCCACACTCTGTGTAAGTCTATAGGTGGCTCCAGGCTGTGACTGGCACTGCCTGCTGTCACTCTGGCCAGGGACTCAGCTTCTTTGTGCCTCAGTTTCCCCATCAGCACAGTGGGGAACCCACTTCAGACCTGATCTGAGGCTGAAAGTCAAGGCCTAGTCCCCAAACAATGTCTCTCTGCTTGGCCCCCGCTCCAAGGGTCCCACATACCTGTTCCTCCACTGCAGGGCAGGCAGCCAACCCAGAGGGCGAAGGCCAGGAGGAGCGTCAGGGTCATGGCTGTGGTGATTCTGCTCTCGGGAGCTGGAGTGGGAACGCTCAAGGCTTGGGCAGGAGACAGGGGACTAGGGACCTGCCCAGGGGAAGCCCAGCCCTTGTTGAGCCCCCTCCAAGTCTGACAAACTGGCCAGAAGAGTTCCCATCCCCCACTGGCCACCCCAGAGCGGAAAACTTGCGGTGGGGGTAGGGAGAGGAGGCCCCAAAAGAGAGAAGTGACCTCATGGCCTTTCCCAGCACAGGGACATGTGGCCTTCCTTCCGCTGAACCGGTGAATGATGGGGGAAATCCCAGGGAGGGGGACAGATGCAGAGAAGGCCAGAGGAGGATGGAGGGAGGAAGAGCCCGAGGGACAGAGATGCAGACAGAGACAGAGATGGAGACAGAGAAAGAGATCAGGGAAGAGAGACAGAAGGAGACTCAGGCAGAGACAGAAGAGGAGAGCTGGAGACAGAGACAGGGTGAGATGGAGAGACATCCTGAGAGCAAGAGACAGAGAGACACAGAGGAGAGATGGGGAGAGAGACAGAGGAGGGAAGAGAGAAACACAGAAAGAGATAGAGACACACAGGTACAGAGACCAAAAGATGCAAAGACAGAGATAGAGACAGAGACAGACAGAGATGGAGTGCCAAGAACGAGAACAGGGGCTCAGAGGGACACAGGCACAGAGACAGGGTGTGCCAGAGAGGGGGGTGTCACTCACTTGCTGACCACAGGAATGGTCTCCAACCCCACTCCAGCCTTTAGGCCCTGAAGCAGCCCCACCCTACAGCCTTCTCCACACCATCTGGAGCCCCAGGAACACACTGAGTCCCCGCTGTGCACGAAGCCTGCCATGAATGTGCAAGGAAACCCCCCGAGACAGGCTGGGCACTCGGGGGGGGGGGGATTCCCAGCCACATCTGCCTCTCCCTTAGCTGGAAAAGGCGAAGAAGCCCCTGGGAGTTTAGGGGGACTTGCCAAGGACAGGAGAGGCTGGAAGAAGGAACTTCAGCCAAGGTTTAGGTCCAGGAAAGAGGGGTTAATTGAGAAGTAAGGGCTGGGAAGGTGGGCATGCTGGTACACACCTGTAATCTCAGCCCTTGGGAGGCGGGAGGAGCTCTAGGCTGAGGCCAGTCTGGGCTCTTAGTGAGACCGTTCCAAAAAATGAGAGGGAGAATGAGAGGGAGAAATAGAGAGGGGGGAGAAAGAAAGGAGAGAGAGAATGAAAGGAAGGAAGGAAAAGAAAGAAAGGAAGGAAGGAAGGAAGGGAGGAAAGTGCCAGCTGCTGGTGGCTCACACTGTAATCCTAGCAACTCAGGAGGCAGTGATCAGGAGGATTGAGGTTCAAAGCCAACCCAGGCAAATAGTTCACAAGACCCTATCTTGAAAAACCCATCACAAAAAAGGGCTGATGCTGATGGAGTGGCTTAATGTGTAGGCCCTGAGTTCAAACCCCAGCACTGATACAGAAAAGAAAAAAAAAGAAAAAGGAAGGAAGGAAGCAAGGAAGGGAGGCAGGGAGGGAGGAAAGGAAAGGAAGAGATTTATGTTGTGGTGCAGCTCAGTGGTGAGTGCTTGCCTAGCATGTGTGAGGCCCTGGGTCCCATCCCCAGCACTGAAAAAAAAAAAGAAAAGAAAAAAGGAAAGGCCCACAGTGAACAAAGTTTTACATCTGGAAATATTAAAGAGACAGAATCCCACCTGTGCTCTTTTGCTCCCAGTGCTGGGGTAGAACCGGGCCCTTGCACCTGGCAATTGCTCACCCCAAGCTCACTATTGTGGGCTTTTTCTGCACCCATTTTAATTAAATTTAAAAAGACTGCATTAAAATCGTATTTATTATGATAACCCATTTCAGGCTGGGTGGGAGGAAGGGAGGAGGGCTTCCTGCTCTAGACTGCCCCGTCCCCTCCCTGCCCCCACACCCTGCAATGAGGCTACACCTTGTTTTGTGCACGACACGCTTTTATTCCTGTATCAGTGTCCATGATGGGACATGGACAGGACATAGGGAGTCACAGATTCTCCGGTGGGGAGGGAAAGGAGCTGCCAGATTGACCAGAGTGTGCAGGGACCAGTAGGGCCAATATAGCCAGGAAGAGTCTGAGGTTGGCCTGTGGGTGCTTGGCAAGTTGGTCTTGCCTCAAGGCCAGGGGCAGCTGGTCCTCCAGAGCCCAGCCTGGAGGGCACTGAGGCTTATGGAGGGTGAGGGAGTCTGTGCAGCCCTCCCAGCCTCAGCGGCCTTGGGCCTGCAGTCGTTGCATCTGTAAAATCTGACTAAGAATCCGTTGCACATCTTCGTCCATCTGGCCCTGGGGTGCAGGAACAGAAAGAGAGAGAGACCCTGGGGGCACTTGGTCTGGTTCCCTATCCCCTGACTTCTGTCACCCCCCCACCACCACAAGGAAGGAAGCTAATGAGGAAGGAGATGCATGTGGAGAGGCCACAAGCCTCTCCCTGGCCCAGCCTCCCACTGCACAGAAGGGGAAACTGAGGCCCAGACAACAGCAGAAGTATGCCAAGGCTGAGATGGAGTTGGGACCCCAAGTGACTCACCTGGATGGCGTACAGGAGATGGCTTCTGTACAAAGCTACCACAGCACAGTGGTCCCTGGCAGCCTCCTGCAGGCATGGAGGAGGGGCGCTCAGAAAAGCGGGACCCCGCCCCCCAGCAAGACACATCCAAATGCTCCACCACACTTAGCTTGAGCTACAGTGGCAGGCACCAGGTGACAGCCAGTGGCTCCAGGATGGAAATATTTCTGCCCATGCCCTGCCATCCCATCTGCCCTGTCCCTGTCTGGGCCCTGTGCTATGCTGGAGAGGATGGAGGTGACTATGCTGAGCTCTGCTCACCGCAGCCCTTACCTCCACTTGTCGCTGCAAAGCTCTGACCTGGTCACGCAGGGCCTCCACCTCGGGACTGACCGGGGCCGGCTGTTCCTTCAGGGCCTCTTTAAGACTGAACACTTCTTTGGACAGTTCTGTGATCTGGAAGGAGGGCACTGTTAGCTGCCACCTGGAACCACAGGCTGGGGGCCTGGTCTGGGCAGCTGATCAATGTTTGCTAGGAAAGTCATGTCCTAGGGGTTTGCAAACTGGCAGGGGGAGGGGCAGATCCAGCCCCCCGCTTGTTTTCATACTGCCCACGGGCTAAGAATGGTTTCCACGTTTTTAAATGCGAGGGGGGAAGGTCAAAAGAACTCTAGCTAGTGACACGTGGAGATTATGGCAATTCACATTTAGACCTTTATAAGTAAAGTTTTAATGGCACACGGCCCCGCCTGTTTGGTTGTGTTTGTCTCATATCTGCTCGCATGGTAGCATGGAGTGCTTATGACAGAGATGGTCTACCCTACAGAGCAGCAAATATTTTGATCCTTCTTGTCCCCTCTTGGGGTCTCTGTTGGGCCACTGGGAAAATGAATGCTGTGGGAGCAGCAGAACTGAAAGCCACCTGAACTGGCTGGGCTGGGGTCAGGTGGCCCTGGGTTCAAGACTCTGTTCTGCCCCTTTATCGAGGGTGGGAAGGTGACTTATCCCCTTGTGGCTGTGATCCTGCATGGAGATTCAGTTTAAACAGCAGGCACTCAATAAATGATGAACCTTATTATTTACTGTAGATCTCAGCTTCCTGGTCATGGGCCATTCTGTCCTTCCCACCAGGGGACAGGCCCAGGACGCCCTGCAGAGAATGGGGTCTCTGAGGGAACTCACTCACTGTCCAGTGATAAGCTGTGTGACTCCAGCTCCTCCTTTCCCCTCTGGGAGCCCCAGTTTAACTCGTCAGGAAAGTGGGGATGAAAATGCTTTCTGGCTTTTAGGATCGTGTGAAGAGAGAAAGTGGTCATTTGCCCAGCACCTAGAAGCTTCTGTCATCAGTGTTATTATTGTTGCTGTCTAACATAGGCTGGACCATCAAATGGCTGTGTGACCATGGGCAGTGGTTTCATGTCTCTGTGGCTGTTTCCTAAAATGGGGCTTTTTAAAGTCCCTCCCTTTTGGAATGTGATGTGAGGGTTAAATGCATGCAGTAAGCTCTCAATACAGCCTTCGTGGCTAGAGCTGAGACTGCTTGCTTGTCTGTGCCTCAGTTTGCCATCTGGAAAATGTGCTGATTTTCCACAACCTGTCCAGCTGGGATATTCTTAGATTCTCTGCAACTTCTGCTGAGCGAAGTCCCCGACAGTGTGGGAGAGGGGGCTCCCACCTTCTTATCCTTCTCCTTGGCCTTGTCCAGGGCCTCCTGGGCACGGCTCTGGACCTGGCGAGCCCTTTCGGCCTCGGTGCGTAGCCCCCGTAGCTGCTGCTCCGCCGTGGCCAGCTGGGCCTCAGCTGCGTGCCGCTCGCTCTTCATGAATAATGCCTCACGCTGCACCTGTGGCCCAAGCCCACGTGTGACTCTCAGGATGCTTGAATCCCAGACTGCTTCTGCCCCTTTAATTTTAGCCTGAGGACATCCAAGTCCATGGTGCTCTCTAGGGATCTGACTCAGGGGAGTACTGGATTTCCCCTTGGCCCTGTGAACATTCTGATCCTGCTGTGCACCTCTGGACTATATTAGCTGTGTGTGCTTGGACAAGTGACTCGACCTCTCTGGGCACCAGTTTCCTCATATGTAAAACGAGCCTATTAATAAAAGCCACCACTTCATAACTCCATAGCGTGGTTGCTGAGGACACAGGAGCAAATACATAGCACATGCTTAGGACCGTATCTGGCACACAGTCAGTGCTGTATTCGAGTTAATGATATTATTTTCTATTATCCCTAATGTCCTCTTCTCTGACAATGGAGTGAAAATATGTAGATTTCTTATGAAACTAAAGTAAAAGAGAAGAACTGAGTGAAAAAGTGACAAACAGAAAAAAGAGTATTAGCTAAGAACAGCGGGAGAAACCTTTCACTGGTTACAAAAAAACTGCAGGCACTGTGAGCCGGGCACCAGTGACTCAAGCCTGTAATCCTATCTACTTGGGAGGCTGAGATTGGGAGGATCGTGGTTTGAGGCCATCCCCGGGCAAACAGTTCACGAGACCCCCATCTCCAAAATAACCAGAGCAAAATGGACTGGAGGAGTGGCTTAAACAGCAGAACACCTGCTTCGAAGGTGTGGAGCCCTGAGTTCAAGCCCAGTCCTGTCAAGGAAAGAGGGAAGGGAGGGGAGGGAGGGAGGAAGGAAAGAAGAAAGGAAGGAAGAAGGAAAAGAAAATACAACTCGTGACATCCAGGAAGTCAGAGACATGATGGGGTTTCCAACACCCCATGGCTGCGAGGTCAAAACCTTCGTGTCGGGGGGGAAAGAGGGACACGACTGACCACACTCACCTGGAAGACCTCAGCACTGGTCTTCTCGTGCCGTCTGGCCAGCTCCTCCATCTGTCCCTCCAGCCGGGCCACATCGGCCTGCAGCGCTGCCACAACTCGCTGGTGCTCGGAGCGCGCCACGCTGCCCATGCGCTCGCGTTCCAGCTCTGCGCGCAGCCGGGCGGCCTCCTTGCCCGTGGCCACCACCTCCTGCTCCAGGCTGGCCGCCCGGCCCCGCAGCTCCAGAGCCTCGTCTTGCAGCCGGTGATGCTCGGCCGCGGGCACTGAGGACTGGCGCAGGGCCTCGGAGGCCTCCCGCAGCTCCGCCAGGCCCCGCCGGGCCTCGTCGCATGCCACGGCCAGCTCAGTGGCCCTGGCCTCGGCGGCGGCCCGCGCTTGGCCCAGCTCGGCGGCCGCAGCCCGGTGCTGCTCCCCTGTGGCCTTGGCCGTGGCCAGCTGCTCCCGCAGCACCTCCAGCTCCCGGCTCTGCTCCAGCCGCACCTCCTCCCGCTGGGCCAGCTCTGCCCGCAGGCCCCGGGCCTCCTCCTCAGCCAGCAGCCGGCCAGCCCGGGCCTCGTCCAGCCAGGCCACAGCCGCCTCCAGCTCCCGCAGGCGGCAGTCACGATCGTGAAGGTCCTGCCGGGCTTGCTCCAGGGCCGCCCGCAGCTGGACAGTGTCACCACCACTACCCCCACTGCCCTCGGTCTCTCGCACCTGCTCCCGCAGCCTGCCAGCCTCAGCCTCTGCGGCCTCGCACTTGCCACGGGCTGCCTCCAACTCCGCGGCCGCCTCTTGCTCCCGCCGCCGGAGCGCCTCCTCCAAGCCTCGGATTCTGGTCTCCAGCTCAGCCTGTAGCTTTTCGGAGGCTTCAGCAGCACCAGGGTGGAGGACGGGCCCGACAGGGACCTCTGGGGTGGTGGCCTCCACTTCCGTGGCCTCCACAGATGTGGCCTTAGCTACTGTGGCCTCCATGTTTATGTTTTGTGTCTCTGTAACTTCTACTTGCACTGCATCCATTCCATTGACCTCTGCTTCAGATTCTGCTGCTTTTGTTTTTGTGGCCTCAGCTCCTGTGGCCTTAGTTTCAGCATTCTCTTCTGCTGCCTTCATACCTTGGACGTCAGCCTCTGTGGTCTTTGATTCCATAGCCTCAACTCCATTACCCCCTGATTCTGTGGCCTCTGCACCCATGTTTTTTGTTTCTGTGGCCCTGGTTCCTGTGGCCTCAGGCACTGGGGACACTGCTGCTACAGTCCTGGCTTCTCTGGTGTCAACTTCTCCATCCTTCTCATCTGTGGTCTCAACTCCGTTAACTTTGGTTTCCAGAGCCACGCTGCCGTTCAGCTCTGCACTGCACGGTCCGTTTTGGGTGGTCTTGGCGCCCTCCCCCTCGCCCTCCCCGTGGGCTGCCCCCTCTTTTCTGGGGGCCTGTGGCGCCTCCTGCTGCTCCAGCACACGCAGGGCCTCGGCGTGCTGCCGTCGGAGCTGGTCAAACTCGGCCCGCAGAGAGTCATAGAGGACCAGCGGGACAACCTCGGGCAGACCACTCCCCTCCATCTGCACCTCGTCCTTCTCCAACTCCTCCAGGATCTGGGGGAGGGAGGCAGGCAGAGGGGGTTGAAGTGTCTTTGGGGGCACGGGGCACTTGCGCCACCTTCCCTGCCCATCCCGACCCTGAGAACAAGCCCCCAGGTCCTCAGATCTGTCTGGGGCCTCGGTTTACCCACCTGGACTTTCTCCATCAGCTCCTGGTTCTGCCTTGTGAGCTCGGCCACCTGCGCCTGCAGTGTGGCCAGGAGCTCCTGGGCTGACGGGCTCAGCCGTTTGGACAGCAGCGCCTCCATCCCTGGTGGACGGAGAGACAGACTGGGGTCACAGGCCACATGGGACAGGAGCTGGGAGTCTGGGGCAGCACATCAGGTACCCCAGGGCTGGCTCAGCACACAGAGTGACTAACAGTGTGTGCACAAGTGTCACACTTGCAAAGTCATGAGCCCAGGACCAGGTGGCCATGGATGGGGGTGGGGAGGCCGGACCCACCTGGGAAGTCAGGCAGCTCCCCTTCCTCATCCTGCAGAGTGGCCACATCGTAGCTGGTGTTCTCTCGCTCGTTCTGGGGTGGGAGGCAGACTCCGGCTTGGGGTCCTGCTCCCTGCCACCCCCATTCCCCACCCCGAGACTCCAGAGTGGACTGAGGTGTTAATAAACCTGCAGGACTCCTCATGAGCAAGGATTGGCTGTGAGTACTTCCAACCACCCACTGTGTCTTTTGCCACACGCACCCTTGTTTTGCGGTGCTAAGGATGAATCCAGGGCCTCACACATGCTAGGCAAGCGCTCCCCATAGCCCTCCATGCCCATTTTTTTTTTTTATGCTTTCAAACAACCTGCTAGAGTTTCTGTCTGGATATTAACCTCTTGTGGGTCTGGATCCCCAAGTTTCCTGGCCAATGTGCAGGTGATGTTCCCCTCCTGGACATGGGGACCCACAGTGGGGTGCAGCTATGCAGCTGTGTGGGGGCTTCCGTACGTGAGAGTGGTTGGCTGCAGCTGTGTTTGGGATTCTATGTGTGAGGGTAGTTTTGGGGGTGCGTGAGCTGTGGCCCCTTCCTCTCCTGTGCGTGATTATGTTTTGCGCTGTGTGTGTGCATGGTTGTTTTGAGTGTTTGTGTAAGTGTGTATTTACAATTGCAGTTGTCTGTGTGTCTGTATTTCGAGAAGTAATTGTGTGTCTACGTATTTGTGAGTTGTGGTCTGTGTGAGATGGAATGAGATGGTTTGCTGTGTGCGCACACATGCATATGACATGTACGTATGCCATGATGCACTCATGAATCAGCTTCTTGGGTGTCTATAAACTGTACGTGTGCTTTCTGCTGCATGTGCAATGTATGTGGAGGACCGTGCTTGCCCATCTTTGCGTGTTTGGAAAATCGTCCATCACGGGTATGTGTGTATCTGTGGCTGTTATTTGTGTGAGTGGGTTTGTGGGGAGTATCTGCTGTGAAGCTATTAAGTATATTGGTGTGATGGTCATGTCCCTGTCACAGAAGTCCCGCCCCTGGCCCGGCCCACCCGGCTCCAGCCCCACCCCATCGCCACACCCTGGCTGCAGCCCCACCCACCTCCGGATCCAGTCTTGGCTCTGCCCCTGCCCTAGCTTTAGCCCCGCCCTGGCTCCACCCACCTCCCGCTCTGGCCCCACCCCTGACCCATCCCACCACTGGTTCTGCCCTGGCCCGCCTCTTACCCCACCCACCCTGCCTCTGGCCCCGCCCCACCTCTGCTGCCCACCTCCAGCAGGGACAGCCGGCTCTGCAAGCTTTCCACCTCTCGCCCCAGGCTCTCCTTCTCCTCCTGCCTCTCCGCCAGCAGCTGCTGCAGCTCTTGCACCTGGAGCAGGACGTGGGGCTCAACCGCCTCCGGGAGGAGACGCCCGGCAGCCCAGCGGCCCGCTCCGCCCTACCCCTTACCTGTCTTTCCAGGCTGTGCAGGGAGCTGGCTTCGGCCTCCTGGGGCTGCACAGGAGAAGGGGGAGCTCGGCTGGATTTGGGTAGAGGGCTTCCCTACCCCAGTTCCATTCACAGATGGGTCCTCTGCCTAGAAGCCCCCCATTCCATCCACAGATGTCTGCGGAGCATCTGCTGTGTGCCAGCCCATGCCACCTGTCTCAGCAATATTTAGTGAGCGCCTGCTGGGTGCCAGACACAGTTCTGTCCACAAATTCACTCAAGTGTTTTAGCCAGTGCCCATTTTGGGCTCACTAATTCATTCATTCTCTCATCCAAATTTTCATTCATCGGTAAGCATGAAGTATCATATTGTGCGCCAGACCAAGCCCGTCCTGGTGGGCTTACAGTGAGTGAGTGAACAGGAGTAAAATTTACGTGTGTTCAAAGTCTTAAGTGCTATGGAAGAATAAGGAAAACTAAGGAGTAGGGGCTGTTGCAATTTTAAATAAAAAGGGGAGTGGAGGTGTCTTTAACAGGGGTTCTTTTGAGCAGAGGATGTGAGGAAGGAAGGTGTGGGGACATCTGGGAGAACAGTACTTTCAACAGAGGAAAGGGTCTGTGCAAAGGCCCTGGGGCAGGACTGAGTCTGGCATGTTGGAGAAACAGTGGTTGGAGCAGCAGGATCAAAGGGGAGCTAGGGAGGAGAGGAGATGGCAGAGGTAGAGGGTATCTTTCCCTAAATTGCCCCCACCCAGGTCTGGGTCTCTTCAGCCTCCTAACCTCCTGTTTCCTGTGTTCCTTGTGCTGTTCAAGGCCTCGGATCTTCTGCAGAAGGCGGCCTCTCTCCTGCCGCAGGCGCACGATCTCTTCATAGGCTTCCTGATCATCCTGTTCCCCTCCCCACCCGGGAGCCATGGCTGTTAGATGAGGTCTGCGTCTGAGCCAGAGCCCCACCCTGCCCTGGGGTCCCCATTCCTCCCCCCACAGCTGGAGCACCTCTCACCGGCACAGGGATGCTGGCGGGAGGCTGTGGCGCTTTCCGCTTCTTAAAGGCCCCTCGCTTTTCATGGCTGGACACAGAGTTCTGGGGTGGACAGAGGGTGAAGGGGACACATGGGGACCATGCCAGCGTCCCTCTGAAGTGACCCAGTGCAGCCGGCCCATAGCTACCATCTCTGCCCTGACTTCCTCTGGACCCATATTGGGTCCCTGCCTCCCCCTTGTCCTCACTCATCCGATCATTAAGGCGCCAACCCACTGAATCTTCTAGAGCTAATTTCTTCGTCTCTGCCCTCTCTGGGCCTTGGGACTTTCTCTGGCTGGATCAGACTGTCTTCAAATTCCTGCTCCCTGTGGATCTGAGACATGGAAGACTTGGGAGAGGGAAAGAAGCCAGATGTCCCTCTTTCCCAGGAGACACCAGCCCTCACTCCCTTTAGTTCCCTCTGCCACCCCACCATTTAGCGCCATCTCTCCAGTGTTCGCCCTCAGTTTGGGGAGTTATGTTATACATGAGGCCGCCACTAGGTGGCAGTGTACCGGGACAGTAACATTCTTTGCGAACAGGTCCTTCCAGGCAACCATGGGGCAGAACTTGGGGACAGGGGAAGCGAGTGTGCACACGGGGAGCGCAACTCCATCACTCCTTAGGATCCATACCTGGGATGAGGCCTCGCCAGAGTCGTCCTCTAGGAGGGAAGGGAGAGGAAAGCAGTGTCAGGCACTAGAGTCGAAGGACTCCATTCCCAGCTCCTAGAGGGGCACTAGTGAGCCCAGGGGACTTGCAGCGGGGCTCCCGATGCCCCCAAGAATCAGGGACTCTTTTGATTGTTTTTTGGAGACAGAGTCTCACTATGTAATCCAGTCTGACCTGGAATTCGAGATCTTCCTGCCTCAGCCTCCTGAGGACTGGGATTACAGCTGTATACCACCATGCCCGGCCCTAGCAGCAGGGCTTTTAAGATAGGAACCCACCACTGGAAGAATGCTGATAGGAAGGGCCTTGACCCTCAGAGAGAAAAAGAGAGAGAGACAGAGGGCGCTTCCAAGGTGGGAAGTGGGGGCTGCCACTTTTCAGGAAAGGCAAAGCCCTAAGACAAAGGATGCCCAGGAAATCAGAGTGGACCCCCAGGCTAGTCTACATGCTCTGGGGCTCCTTGAAACTGCCCTGATCAGGGGAGCCATGAAACCTCCCACAAAACAGCAGACAGAGGTACCCTGAGACTACCCGCAATGGAGAAAAAGAGGGGTGACCAGAGACTGCCCAGAAAGAGACGGGGGAGAGGGGCTTGCATACCGCTGGGAGGTGAGGGGCGCTGGGCTGCCTCCTGCAGGAGGTGCAAGATGAGTTTGTCCCCCGCTAGGGCTCCGTAGTGAGCTGCGTCCTGGCCCAGTGCGTCCGTGATGCCTGGCTGGGCCCCGCCCTGCAGCAGCACCTCCACGGTTTCGGGGCTGGCCCCCTCACAGGCCAGCATCAGGGCTGTCCTGCGGGGAAGGGGGGTGCTGAAGAGGTGAGGACGTCCCCAAGCCCCCACGCTCGGGCTGGGAGGAGGAGGCGACTAGGTTCCCCACTCAGAGAGGTTAAGAAGTTGCCCAGGGTCACACAGGACGTGATGGACGGGTTGAGATGGAGGTGCTCACCTGCCCTGCAGGTCCTGGTCATTTGCAGCAGCCCCCTGTTGTAGGAGGAGGCGGCACAGATCTGTGTGACACATCTGAGCTGCTATGATGAGGGGCGTGGCGCCCGACTGGTAGGGAGGAGGAAGTGGGGGGTGAGGTGGCATGAGAAGATGACCCCGGGAGGTAGGGAAGCCTAGATGACCACCCTTGATCTTCACCCCAGACCTCATCTTTGTAATGGATGCCTGGGAGGCCGCCGTTTGGTGGCAGCGCACCTCAAAGGTGGCATCTTTCCCCAAAGATCCCAGAAGCTCACCCGATCCCGGGGGTTCAGATGGGCTTTGAAGGAACAGAGCATCTCTGAGCAGGACAGGCAGCCGCCAGCAGCTGGGAAAGAGACGAGAGGGAGTAGGCAGGACATGACCTTCCCCCTCCCCTGGGAGACCCATAATGAAGACTTGATTCCATGGCACAATGAGAAACAGGCCCTGCTACACTCAGGGCCACCCAGTGGGGTCAGAGACAGAGAGAGTGATGCCTAGGAGGCTGGTCTGCTGGTCTGGTGACTTCCAGTCCTCGTTCTCAGCAAGGTGTGCCATGGTTCTGTCTGGAGGTGGAAGGCATAGGCTTTGTTTTTTTTTTTCAGTACTAGGTTTTAAACCCAGGGCCTCACACTTGCTAGGCATATGCTCTACCTCGTGAGCCATGCCACCAGCCCTTTTTTTGCGATGGGTACTTTCCAGCTAGGGTCTCTCGAACTATTTGTCGGGTTGGCATCGAACCTCACCTCAATTCTCCTGATCTCTGCCTCCTGAGTAGCTAGCCACTCACAAGCATGAGCCACTGTAATTCCAGTTTTTATCTGTTTCTTCCTCTTAGACCTAACCAGCATTTACTGTGCTGAACCCTTCTTCAAAGAATGCTAAATGCCCAGGCTAGATAGACTTTGCGTGGTTTGACTTCAGTTGTGACTGTTCTGTTTTGTTTTGTTTTAGCAGGCTGGAGTTTGAACTCAGGGTCTTGTCCTTGCTTGGCAGGTGCTCTGCCACTTGAGCCAGGCCTCCAGTGAGTTCTGAGTTTTAAAGGTGAAAGGATGAAGGAAGAATGCACCAGGCAGAGGTCACAGCATGGGAAAAGGGCCTGGGGTCAGAGGATCTGGGTAGAGCCAAGGAATCAGGAGGTGTACATGTTGGGGCTTCAAAGAGGGAAGGGAGGGCTTTGTACAAGGTGTCACTGGAGAAATCAGAGACCCTGACCCTTCGTGTCCCTAAACGAAAGGGCCAAGGGTAGATTTTATCTAGAGTGAGGTTATCTATACGTGTTTTAAGAGACCCTCCCCCAGGTATGTGGACAGGGCCAGAGTGGAGGCCAGAAGGCTGGCCTGGAGGCTGTCCAGCTGAGATGAGAAAACAGTCTCTGCCATCCCTGGGTTCAAATCCCAGCATGTTCAAATTCAGTTAACCTCAAGAATCCATCATTGATTCAACAAACTCTATCTTAGTACCTACTGTGAGCCTGAGGGAGTCATGGAGCTGTGTTTGTTGTTGTAGCTACAACACATAGCAGACACCTAAGAAATGTTTGCTGGATAAAGAACTTTTTAAGCCAGGTGCCTGGGGCCCATGCCTGTAACCCCAGCTACTCAGAAGGCAGAGATCAGAAGCATCACAGTTCAAAGCCAGTCCAGGCAGATAGTTCATGAGACCCTATTTCGGAAAAAAACCAACACAAAAAAAGAGCTGGTGGATTGGCTCACGTGGTAGAGCACCTGCCTAGCAAGTGTGAAGCCCTGAGTTCAAACCCCAGTACAGCAAAAAAAAAAAAAAAAAAACCTTACAAAGGAGATTGGGAGGATCAAAGTTCAAAGCCAGCCTGGTCAAAAAACTTATTGAGACTTCATTTTAATAAATCACGCCTGTCATCCAAGCTAGGAGAGAGGTATAGGTATCCTGGGGCACAAACTGGAGACCTTATCCAAAAAAAAAAAAAAAAAAAAAAAAAAAGCTAAAGCGCTGGGGACATGGCTCAAAGTAGCAGAGTGCCTGACAAGCAAATGGAGGTCCTGTGTTCAAACTACAGTTCTACCCCCAAATTAAATCAATCCATAAATAAATAAGTGCCATCACTAGGTGACAGTGGTCTCCAACTGCAGGGAATTTGTCAGCCCAACCATGACTCCATTCTGTCGTGTGTCTCTATCAGAACAGATGTGTCTGGCTCTCATGAGCACTGGGGTTCAGCCACTGGGCCCGGCTCTGCTCAAGCGGGTGGGTTCTGCCTCTCTTTGGGGGCTGGAATTTGGATTTGATGGTTATGAAGGCAGGGCTGCCTGCACCTCAGGCTTTCCTAAGAGTTCCTCAAGGAAATTCAAACTCCATGCTCCCCTCCCTCACCACGGAGGCCTGGCCTTCAATAACACACACTTTGGGGTGCAGACACCTGGGTCCGTTACTGCTCACTGTAGGTGAGCCATTTAACCTCGTTGGAGTTCATCTGTTCAATGGCGCATGGGACCCTAGGTTCAAAGGGCCAGTAGGGCTCCAGCTGAGCTCTCCCAAAAAAGAAGGCAGGGAGCCTCCAGTCCTGGTGCTCTCCGAGCCACAGCAGACAGGACAGGACCGGGCACTACCCACCTGCGTGATGGAGAGCCGTCCACCCACTGCTGTCCTCCACATCCACAGCACAGGAGGCCTGGGAAGAGAGCATGCGTCACGTGGTGCAGAGTCACCCCGCCTAGTGGCTGGACTTCAGAGCCACCTCATCCCTTGTTCAGGCCTCCCCCTGCCCTGCTACCCACCTCCCTGCTCTGGGGAGCCCATCCCAGTCCCTGCCCCCAGGTGGCTCTTGACTTTCATGATGGTTATTAACAAAGCGGCAATAGCTGGGAGTTTGGGGAAGAAATTGAGGCTCAGAAAATATCTGGGGGTTTCTCTGGAGTGTGGGGAGTATCTGGACACTCAGGTATCTATGTGTCCAGGGAGTAGCCAAGGCTAAGAGTAAAAGCGGCCAGGGCCTGTGTGGACGCCGGAAGTCTGTGGAGGTTCAGGACTTGCTGGAGCTCGGGAGCAGTGGGGCCAAGGGAGAATCTGGGGCTTGGGGAGTAGCTGAGGGCTGAAGGCCAGCGACCTGCAGGAGTTGCTTCAGACACTGTGGGTGCCCATACTTGGCAGCCAGGTGGAGGGCATTGTAACCTAAACAGAACAGGTGATGGTGAGAGCTCCAAATACTCCAGGAGCACCCAGACATGCTCCCCATGTCTGTGTCAACCGTGGTGACTTTCCAAGTCCCCAAACCCTAGTTCCTCTATATGTTCTATGTGGAAGCTCTGCTCCACCCCTCACAAGCTCGGCTGTTCTTTCTTTTTTGGTGGGATGGGGATTTGAACTCAGGGCTTTGCACTTCCAAAGCAAGCGCTCTATCACTTGAGCCACACCTCCAGTCCATTTTGCTATGGTTATTTTGGAGATGGGGGTCTTACACAGTATTTGCCTAGGCTGCCCTCAAACTGCGATCCTCCTGATCTCAGCCTCCCCAGTAGCTAGGATTAGCAGTGTGAGTCCTAGCTAGCAAGGTAGGACAGCTAGCATGGCTGTTCTGTATGTGCCCACTCATCCATCAGCCAGCTATATACCTGCTGGATACTCTATGACCCCCACCTCCTCATGTGCCTCACCATTTCATCTGTCACCCTGAAGCTTCAGGTATGGCTATGTCCCATTGCCCCCCTCCCCCACCCACAAGCTGTGGAGTCTTCTGGCTAAGTGCCAGCCATGGTCTCTGTCCTGGGGTACCAGGCTGTCATGCCCACATGCCTCCTTAGGGACAGTTGAGCAAACTCCCTTCTTCCTGTAGGGGACACTGAAGCCTAGGCCAGATGGACCCCTGCCTCTGCATCTGGTCCAAGTTCTGCCTCCTAACCAGGCCCCAACTGGTAATACCTGCTCCATCTGTGCTCATTACGTTGGTGCCATGTGTCAACATCACCTCCAGGCAGCTGGCTGCGCCCCTCATGGCTGCCAGGTGGAACCTGGAGGTCAGAGAGGGTGGTCAGTCACAGCCTAGCTCCACCTCAGCCATCCCAGCCCTAGGGCATGAGCACTCACGCAGACTTGCCCTCGGGGTCCAACTTCGTGGGCACCAGCCCTTTGCGGGTGATAAGTGCAGACACCTGGGCTGAGTCGTTGTTCTCCACGGCCTGCAGGAGCCGCTGGTCACTTTTGCCCCAGTCTTGGCCCTGTGGGGCACACCCAGAGGCACATGGGCTGGGTGGGCTGCTGCCCCCTTCCTACTCCCCCCCAGGCAGGGCTCCAGGCTCTCACTGCCCGCCCCTGGGCACTTGCCTGGCGCCTGCCTCTGGCTGCCGGCTTCGGGATGGGGCAGGGGCCACAGGGCGGGCAGGAGCCGAGGTCGGTGGGGCTGAGCCGAAGCTGCGGGGGTGGGGGCAGGTGGTCCTGGGTGGGGGGGCCTGAGACAGTATTTTCCAAGCCTGCATCCTCCTAGCATCTGCCCAAAATCCATCCAAAATCCACCACCAGCCTCATCCCTCAGCCTCACCATCTCATTCACACTGCCCCACCCCAAGCATCCGTGAGGTGAAGATATCCTGCAATGTCACCTCCAAGAGACCCCTTGACAAGTCCCTCTGCATCTGTCCTTCCACAACTGCACTTCAAATGCCACACTGTCCCCCGAATATACAAGGCCTGCCCACCAAAATTACTGCCTTAGAAGTATTCCAAAATATCACTACCAAACGCCTAGTGTTCTCCAAAATCACTGGCTTCAAATAATCTGTCCCAAAAATGTCCCCCTCCCAATAAAAGGAAAGAAAAGAAAATCCCTCAAGTCTCAGAAACTATTCTCCAAATGTCAGGATCTCTTCCCAACAACAGTGCCACCTTAGTAATGCCCACTTTGTCCCCCAAATAGCCCCGTCTGTCTCCAACGTGTCCCCCCAATTGTCCTCTTCGTTCTCCTAAATGTCCCATCTAGTCTCAAAACGGTCTTCCCAAACGTACCCTAGTGTGTTCCCAAACTTCTCGCCTATCCCCACAAGCCGCCCCCCGATTCTGTCCCCGACCTGGGGTGGGGGTGGGGTGGAGGCCCCGCGAGCCTGGCGGGGCGGGGCGGGACGGGGAGGGAGGAAGGACCCGCGCCCCCCACCGGGGCCCTACCGCGAAGGAGGCGGCTGCGCACAGGCACAGCTGCTTCATGGCGTCCAGGGCGCCGGGCGGCGGGCGGCGGGTCTCCCGTCTCCCGGAGGCGCACGGACCGAGGAGCCGGGGGCGGGGCGGCGCCGGGGTGGGCGGGGCGTCCGGCACCGCCACGCCCCGACGGTGGGAGGAGCTCCGGGGAGGGGCTGGGCTCTGGAGAGGGCGTTGTCCCTTAGCACCTGACCTCCTAGCCACCAGGAGGGTGTGGCGAAGGGGCCCCGGCCAGTCACCCCAAGTGCTGCAGACTTGGGTGGTGGAGCCTCCTGCGTCCATCGCCTCCTCCTCCTCCTCCTCTGAGCAGGTCGCGGGTGCGCAGGTGTCTCCAGGTGAGGGACCTTGACATATCCAACCTTTCATTTCCTCTCCTTTGCAGTCATAATTCACTCATTCACCACTCACCCATTCATTCACTCGCTCATTCACTCACTCAGTCGTTCATTATTCGTTCACCCATTCACTGATTCATTCACTCACCCATCCATTCATTTCTTCGCTCACTCATTCATGTCTTCATTCAGTCGTTGTCTCACCTAGTCATTCAATCGCTCCTTCATTCATTCACGCACTCTCTCACCCATCCACTCATCCACTCACTCGCCCATTCATTCATGCAGCCAGTCATGAATGCCCTCATTCATTCATGCATGCAGTCCTTCATTCACTTGCCCATTTGTTCGCTCCTCTGCCAATGGCAATCTGACAACTGAATTTGAATCCCGTACTCCATCCCCCTCCGCACATTTACCACTTATCTATCTGAGTCACAATACTCACTTGCTGTGACCTTCACCTTCCTCATCTGTGAATTGGGTTTTTATTCTTTTTTTTTTTCAGTATTGGAGTTTGAACTCAGGGTCTCACGCTTGCTAGGCAGGCGCTCTACCACTTCAGTCATTCAATTAGCCCTTTTTTGTGATGGGTTTTTTTGAGATAGGGTCTCCTGAACTATTTGCCTGGACTGGCCTTGAACCACTGTCATCCTGATCTCTGCCTCCTGAGTAGCTAGGATTGCAGGAGTGAGTCACTGGTACCTGCCCCTTGTGAAGTGGGTTTCATAGCAAAACATTCCTACCACAGAGAGTTTCTGCGAGGACTCAACGATTTATTAGGATTTGCCTTGGTGCCTGGTTTAAAGTAACAGCACAATAGAGGGCTGGTGGAGTGGCTCAAGTGGTAGAGGATCTGCTTAGCAATGTGAAGCCCTGAGTTCAAACCCTGGTACTGTGCTGGGCACCAGTGGTTCATGCCTGTAATCCTAGATACTCAGGAAGTAGAAATTAGGAGGATTGTGGTTTGAAGCCAGCTCAGGCAAATAGTTTGTGAGACCCTATCTGGAAAAACACATCACAAAAAATGGCTGACAGAGTGGCTCAAGTGGTAGAGCACCTGCCTGGTAAACGTGAGATCCTGAGTTCAAACCCCAGTACCACCAAGGAAAAAAAAAAGGTACTGCCCCCCAAAAGACAGAAACTGTAATTCACTCATTAAACAAAAATGTAGCTGGGCTCCTTCACAGCTCTCCAGCTGGGGACAAAAGAGGACGCAAGACCATGTAAATGCTCAGGTAGACAGACTGAGGACCCAGCCCGTGGCTCTGCCTCCAGAAGACTGGGGTGTCTGTATTTGTTCAGTCTTTTCTCAGACTGGGAGCTCCTGCAGAGCAGGGCCCATGGAAGCCCCCTGGTACAGGATCTGTTGCCAGGGCAGGACACACTGAACACCCACAGGGTGCTGAATGGGGTCCCATCTGCCCGGTTCTTGCTCACACCTCATGCCCCACAGTCTGTCTTTCACACAGCAGCTAGAGGTGCCCATGAGCACTGAGTCAGGTCCCTCTCTCCTCTGCTCACAGTCCTCCCTCAGGGTCAAAGCCCAATTCCCATACATATCCCATAGAGACCTGAACGACCTTCCCTGTCCCCTCCATGCCTAACCTCCTCCCTTCTCCCCTTCACTCCCTTTGCCCCAGCCACATGAGCCTCCTCACTGCTCTTCCAACATGCCAAGCTTGGTCCTGCCCCAGGGCCTTTGCACAGAATGTTCTCTTACCCAGATCCTCCTTAATCCTCAGATTCACCACCTCTGCCTGACAACTCAGCATCCCCTGCTTTATTTCTGTGTGGCATTTATGCCTCTCTGACGCTGTCAGGTTTGTTGCCTGCTCCCATTCATTTCCACCCTGGGAAATGTCAGCTGCACGTGCGAGGAGGTGGTTTGGGTTTTGGTCCCTGCCACATCCCCAGTGCCTGGAACAGTACCTGGCACAGAGCTCAAAAATGTGCCACATTGTTCCTTTGGAGAGATGCTCCTTGATTCAAGTGAACATTTATCAAGTGACTGCTGGATGCTGGCACAGTTCTCAGGCTTAGAGACACACAGTGCACACAGTGAAATTTCTGCCCTACGGCTTTTGTGCATTATGGCTGGCATTTTAGAAGTGCCAGGGACATGGGTGGCAGGTGAAGAATGGATATGGAGGGACAGGACCTTAGCAGGGGACTAAGCCAGGTCGTGTGGAGCAGCAGAAGGTGGGAGTCTGGCCAGGAATTGGTGAGATGGGGGGCTTCCAGAGAAGCAGAAGTCGGGGTGATCCTGAAACGTCACCACACAGAAGTGAGGGGTTCACAGTCATACAGCATATCACTTTCCAAACATCCAGGTGCGCTAGCACAAAGAAGCACCAGCTCTGCCTTGCTGTGTGACCTTGGACAGGCTGTTCCCCCTCTCTGAGCTGCAATTCCTCCTCTGTGAAATGAGGATAAAATTGCAGCTGGTTTTGGTTTATTTATAGAAGTGTTTCTCCCTTGGGCACAGGGGATACTGCAGGGTGCTGAGCAGTGTCTCTGGCCTCCACCCACTCCATGCCCAGGAGCTCCTCAGTTTGACAGCCACACATGTCCCCAGACATGGCCCAGTGTCCCTGGAGGGAGGAGAGAGAAGAATTGTCATCCCTTCTCCCATTGATTCCACTTGCTATGGCTTTGAGGACTCACACATCAGGATGCTCTGTCCGAGACCCTTTGACAGGTGAAGGGTGTGTGGCACCCTCTCTTCCCGGGGATAACATGGATCTCCCAGTTCAGGCTGCACATTCCCAGTTGTCCCCCACCCTGTCCCCCTGGACACTGTGTAGCTTACACCAAACCTGCTTCTCGGAGCCCATCGCACCTGCACCAGCCCACAGGGGCTCAGACCAAGTCCTTCATCATGTTGATCCCTCTCTGTCATCCCACGCCAACGCACCTGCCACTCAGCCCACCACACTATAGGCAGGTTTGCCCCCTTGATGGCTGCCACCTTGCTCTGCCACCATCACTGCAGTTCCCCCAGCTGGACATGTCCTCCCCAGTTTCTGCCTTTGACCTTCCCATTCCTTCACCGGCAGCTAGTGGCTTGCAACACCGGAGGTGGATCTTCCCTGTTCCGAGTCTCCAGGGACCTCGCTCAGCATAAAGTGTCACCTGCTGTTGCACAGCCTGAGAGATGAGAAGGTTTTTCACTTTGTAAGTGGCTGGGCAGGGGATCAAGCAAATACTTCGTGACTCATGAAAATGATGTGAAATTCACAGTGCAGCACTTCAATGAAGTTTTATGGGAACAGAGCAAATTATACTCATTTATGATGGTTGGTGACTTGACTGATCTTGGCCTAAAATGGGAGAGTTGACGCTGCCTGGCTCCAAAGTCAAAAATATCACAGTCTGGCCCTTTTCAGGAAGAGTCTGCTGGCTCCTGCTCTAAGCTGTCCTCTGCATTGCCCCCTCTGTTTTCCTTGGTCCCAGCCACCCTGCCCCAGTAGCCTTGTTGGGGTCCTCAAATTGCTGAGTTTCATTTCCTGAGCCTTTGCCCTTCCTGCTATCCACATGGCTATGTCCTTCTGTCCTGTTTCTCTAGGCAGTTCCCTTTGTCCCAGCACCATTAATTTCTCCTTTACAACCCTTGTCACTCCTCACTGAGATACAATGTAACTTTTGAAAAATATTGGCTACTCTTGGTCTTTCCCAGAATGTCACCTCCCCCTGGGGCAGGGATGTTAGTGGGACTTGGTCCCTGCTGTATCCACAGCAAGACTGGCTGTAGGTTTTCTTCTTTCCTTCCCTTCTCTCTCTCCTATTTTTTTTTTTTTTGTTGTTGTTGTTAGTTTTCTGTGCTGGTGAGGACCCCAGGGCCTCCAGCATGGTAGGCGAACACTTTACCATTGAGTCACAGCCCCAGCTCTTATAACTGTTCGTTTAGAATTTACCTATCCGTTCATTCATTCATCCATTGGCAGTACTGGGGTTTGAACTCAGGGCCTCACACTTGCTAGACAGTTGCTCTACCCCTTCAGCGACTCTGCCATCCCAAATTTGTATTGAGTGTTTTCAAGATAGGGTCTTGCTCATGACGTATTTGTTCAGGCTGGTTTTAACCATGATTCTCCTGATCTCTGCCCCCTAAGTAGCCAGGATTATACGTGTAAGTCACCAGCACCCAGCTAAATTTTATTTTTGCATCTATATTCAAGAAGGATATTGGTCTGGCTTTTTTGTTGTGGTGGTAGTTCTTGTTTGTGGTGCTGGTGATGAAGCCAGGACCTGGCACATGCTGGGCAAGTGCTCACCTCTAAGCTATATCCTCAGCACCCTGCCTACAGAGTTTTGGCACCCAGTGTAAAGTGAAAATGTAGGGCCCCTTGGTCACCACTGTTAAGAATTTTAGGGACTGTAACCAGGTACCTCACTCCTGTAATCCCAGCTACTCAGGAGGCAGAGATCAGGAAGATTGCAGTTTGAAGCCAACCTGGGCAAATAGTTTGGGAGACCCATTTAGAAAAAAACCCATCTCAAAAAAAGGGGCTGGTGGAGTGGCTCAAGGTGTAAGCCCTGAGTTCAAACCCCAGTAGCGGGGGGAAAAAAAATTAGGGGCTGAAGTGCACCTCAGTGGTAGAGCACCTTCATAAGCACGTGGGTCCCTGGGTTCTGTCCCCAGCGCGGGCGCGCGCGCGCACACACACACAGAGAGAGAGAGAGAGAGAGAGAGAAAGAGAGAGAGAATTTTAAAAGCAAGGCATTCAACAAAGTGTGTGCTGGATTAATCTAAAAAATAGTGACTGGCCTGGGGTGCAGCTCAGTGAGAGAGTGCGTTCTTAGTATGCGGGAGGCTCGGGTTTCCATCCCCAGCACCCCCAAAAATACTGCCTCTGGAGAGGGAGAATGGGAAGGAGCGGGGAGGAGGCAGAGAGCGAGAAGAGAAAGAGGAGAGACTGACTGTCTGACGGTGCCCCCGCGCCGGGGCACCGAACCTTTGCAGGGCGCGCCCACCTTTGCGGATGGCAGGGGCTGCCGAGCGGGCGGGGCGCGCGGAAGGGGCGGGAGCGCGCCTGGCGGGCGGCGGCGCGGGCACGCGGAAGGGCGGGAGCGCGCCTGGCGGGCGGGCAGGGCCGCGGCAAGGGCGTAGTGGCCGCTGGAGGGACCGAGACGCCCAGGCGCGCCCGCGAGGCCGCCCCCAGCCGCGGGTGTTTGCTTTCTTCCCTCGGGGCCGCTGAACAAAAGGCGAACCTGACTCGCCGGGGATGCGAAACCGGAGAAGGGCAGGGGAGGGAGGGATAAAGGACGGCCAGGTGCGCGGCGAGCGGAGGACGGAGGACGGGAGACAGGGGACAGGGGACAGGGCCGACCTCTGCGCCACACCGCCCGGTCCCCGGCCCCACCTTGACCGTGGGCCTCCATCGCGTTCTGATCAGGTGTCTCTTGCAGCTGTGGAAACGCTTTGCAAGGCTTGATTTAAATAAATTCTGCCTTTGCAATTAAACAGTTTTATTCTTTGGTTCTCTCTCCTCTCTCTCCTCTCTGTCTCTCGGCAGTTTTGGGATTTGAACTCAGGGCCCCAAGCCTGTAATCTTAGCACTCAGGAGGCTGAAGCAAGAGGATTGTGAGTTCAAATCCAATCTGGGGTACATATCGAGACCCTGTCTAAAAATCAAAAAATTAACTGGATGCAGTGGCTCACACTTGTAATCCCAGCTACGTGGGATGGAGAGATAGGAGGATCTTGTTCTGAAAGCCAGACTCAGGCAAAAACAAGAGACCTAATCTGAAAAATAACTAAAGCAAAAAGGGCTGGAGGTGTGGCTCAAGTGATAGAGTGCCTGCCTAGCAAGAGGAAGGTCCTGAGTTCAAACCTTGCTACGGCCAAAGAAAGGTTTTTAAATAAAATTAAATAATAAAATAAATTGGAGCATTAAATAAAATAATATAATAAAGCAGATTGGAACAACCAAGGGATACCACAGAAGGGTGTCCACACACCCAGTCACCTAGACGGTCAGGGATAAAGGAAGGATTTGAACCCAGAACTGCCTGACCTGAAATGTACAGGCCCCTTTTTCTGGCTTCCAAGAACACCTTGTGCTGGGCCTTCTTGGCCTCAGCTACTCCCACACTCCACTCCTGTCCAAGGTGAGTCTCCTGAATCTGCCAGGCCAGATCTGGCTTCCCTGCCTTTGCCCATGCTGTTCTTCACACACTTCCTAGTACATCCCTCTCGTCTAATTCTTCCCTATTCTTCCAATATTCTGATTGCCTTGGGCCAGACCATATCGCTCTGTGCAACCAAAGGTTCTGCCATCAGTCATGGATGGGTTTGAATCTCCCCTTTGTCACTTGGCTTTGTAGCCAGGAGAGAGGTTTCTAAGGATCCCGGTTTCCTCAAATGTCAGTGACAAATAAAGCCTGACTGAGGCCAGGCATCAACCAGCCCCATGCTGGCTGTAACTTGGGAACACCAGGAGGTACATGGGATGACAGAGTACGAGCATCGCTCTCTGGGGGATCACAGTCCAAAACAAGAGGCAAGGGAAGCAGCTCAATCTCACCACAGGAACTTTGCACTGCCTGTCCCTTCTACCAGAGTACAATTTCTGTAAATATACCCAGCGCTCCCTCCTTTTACCCCTCCTAGGTTTTTCTCTAATATCACCTTTAGGGGCAAGGGGCGGGGGGTTTCCTGACCCCCTTCTTTAAATCACAACCATCTCTCTTGCCCGCTCCCACCCAGGCTCCAATTTCTTCCCCTGATGCATGTGTCTGTGACACAAAACACAGATTTGCATTCATGTATCTTGCTTCGTGTCCAACTTCCCCACTCAGCTGCCAGCCACACCAGGGTGGAGAATTGTGTATAGCTGTATTCACTGCTACTTCCTGCCTCCAGAGCAGCTCCTGATGTAACTATTGACTGAATACAAACTCAAAGGAAGGAGGGAGGAAGGAAAATTAGGACCCTTAAAAGAAAGTGGGTTCTTGGAAGAGCAAGCGGTCACCGTATTTGGGGAGAGCAGAGATGGGCTGGAGAGGTGGTAACAGAGCCCAAATTGAGGAGGAGGAAGGACGGAGTGGCAGCCAGTCCAAATGGACTGCACCTGGACCAAGGTGGGCTGGTGGGAATGCAGTAGGAGGTGCGAGCAGCAGGGGGCAGCAGAGAGCAAAGGAGGAGAGGCGGCAGAGGCCAGGGGCGAGGATTTGAACCTACTGTTTTCAGCGGGTGGACTCCATCTTTTCAACACGCTGCCAAAAAATGAATCTGATGAGGAGGAGGGGGGACATTGGCCCAAAGGCCCAGAGCCAGGAGCCTTAGGGACAGAGGGCTGTCAGTGACCTCAAACTCACCTCTGTCTTCTTAAATCGCGCCCTAAGAGTCTTCATAGCCACCTGGAGAAAGGATGGGTGGAGTGGGGTGAGGGGCTCCGGTTCAGGTGGGTGGGAAAGTCAGCTGCCTCGCCTCCCTCCAAAGGACCACTCCCTCCTCCCTGGGTGGTCCCCCCTGCAGCAGGATACACGCAGCTTGCTCATCTCCTACATGCTGTGCGTCCCATGGCAAGTTACCTGCCCTCTCTGAGTTGCACCCCCCTCATCTACAATTTCTTCTTTTTTTGACAATTCCTTCTTGACCGAGTAGTAGCATATATAAAATTGGTTGCTTTTTTTTTTTTTTGGTGGTACTGGGGTTTGAACTCAGGGCCTTGCTCTTGCTAAACAGTCACTCTACAGCCTGAGCCACACCCCTAGCCCTGGTCCACAAGGCTTTTATCTGTAATTACTGCTGCCAAGAAAGCTTTTTGTTTTTTTTTTAATTCTCTGGGGGGCTGGCGGAGTGACAAGTGTTATAGCGCCTGCCTAGCAAGTGTGAAGCCCTGAGTTCAAACCCCAGTACCACCAAATAAATACTCTGGTGAACTCTGAGAATACTCTATTCATCCTTCATATCCCAGTTCCAAAATCTCCATGCTCTCAATCAACTTTGTTTCTTGCTCCCAGCAGAGCACTGCATTGGGCTCCCACCACCTGTGCTGCTGGTTCTCTTCTGCCTCCACCCTGGCTGTCAGGCTGGGAGGGTCTGGGCTGCGTTTAATTTCCTTGACAGTCCGGGGCTTCCTGGGAACTGGGCCCAGGGTCCTCTGCCATGGGCGCCTTTGTTGGGATGTCAGAACCTGCGACCTTGCAGCTGAGCCCCACACACATGGAGGAGAGCGTTTTCCCAGGGCGGGTGGAGATCTGGGGTGAAGGCTGTGTGTCTATGTGCTCACATGTATGACGCATGTGCAGGCGTGTGTCTGTCCCTGGGGCCTGTTCCATGTCCTGTGCTGCGTGGGTGTGGCAGCCAGTAACAATGGTTTCAGGGCATGTGACTAAAGCTCCCTGTGTCCGAGAGGGGTCTCTGTAAAGGACTGTCCTTACTAGCCTCCCAGCAAGGGAGTAGCGTTTCACCTGTCTACTGCCTGTGAGTTCTCCTAGTCCTCCCTCCACTCATCTACTCACCTGGGCATCCATTCTCCCACTGTGCACCTGTGCACCCAAGGACTAGTCACTGCCACCGATGCCCCATCAAACAATCTCCTCATGTTTCTTCGTCATTGTGCAGTCACGCTCCTCCTCCAACACCATCGCCCACCCAACCATCTACCCATCCATCCACCCATCCATCCATCCACCCATCCATCCATCCACCCACCATCCATCCATCCACCCATCCACCCATCCATCCATCCACCCATCCATCCATCCACCCATCCATCCACCCACCCATCCATCCACCCATCCACCTATCCATCCATCCACCCATCCATCCACCCATCCACCCATCCATCCATCCACCTATCCATCCATCCACCCATCCATCCATCCATCCACCCATCCACCCATCCACCCATCCACCCATCCACCCATCCATCCACCCATCCACCCATCCATCCACCCATCCACCCATCCACCCCTCATCCATTCCCCCCACCTTCCTCATCTGCCCCTGACTAAAGGCTCAATCCCACACAAAGCTGTGTAACCAGACACCCAAGACAGGAGCCCCCAGGGTGCCTGAGCAGGACAGAGTCTGTGGGCCTGGGGGAGAGAAACTGCCCTCTGGATTTAGGGAGCTGCTTCCTGGAGGAGGCGATGGCAGTCAGTACATACGGCCTGGTGACCAGTGGGAAGCGCGTACCTGAATGTGTGTGCTTGTGCGTCTGGGGGCAACCCAGGGAGCTCCTCTGCAGCCAGGACCCAGCGCCCCCTCTGCTTTCTCCTGGCCACAGGGGAGCCTCCAGCCCAGCTTCCCTCACCCTTTTCTTCTCCTACCTCCTGAAGCTCCAGTGTTCCGAGCACCAGGCCCCGTTGGTGCTCACGGCTGGCTCCAGTTAGCCATGCCCTGTTGGGCCACCAGCTCGCACCAGCAGCTCCCAGCTCTGGGCTCTGACACCGATCAGCCCTGGGCAGGCGGGCAGCCGCCCCAGGGGGCCAGGGATGAGCTGAGGGAGGAGACAGGCTGGCAGCAGGGCTGCTGTTGGCCAGCAGGCTAGGGTGGGAGGACACCCAGGCTCTTCCTTATCTTCCTTGGGCTGATTTCTGTGTCAAGGAAGCCTCGCTCTACCTCTTCCCCCAGCTTAGCCACTCTCTGTGTTCCTACCTACTCTTTTTAAACCGCATGTCACCCCTCCCCCCACAGCAGCTCATTTTTCCACCCACTTCCTACCCCTCTTCAGATCTTTGCTGCAACACTCCCTCCTCCAGGAAGCCCTCCTGGAGGGCTGGGTCAGGAACCTCCTGAGCTCCACCAATTCCCTGTGTCCTCTGCACCCCAATCATGCTGGGGCACTGAAATAGAGTTTTAGACCCTTGGCTCAAACTCCTGGGCTTCCATATGCCAGGTCTGGCCACTCGCCCCTATATGCCAAATAAAGAGGCATGGTGAAGGCAGAGAAACGAGGTTTATTATGCGGCCCAGGACGTGCTATGGGAAGAGGAAGAGGAAGCACTCGGCCCATCTTCAGCCAGCTTCAGCTTTAAATAGACAAAGAATTAGGGCAGGGACAAAGGTATGCATAAACAGTCCCAGTCACAGGTGTCTGGCTGACCATTATCTCAGTCCTTGTTCATGAAGGGTTCAGGAGATGTCGTTATCACTGTCGTCACTTGAGAGGAGCGGTGTGATTACTCCAGGCTGCAGCCTCATCATTACAGGTAATTGTCCCATTTGTGGGGAGGTCTGGCCTGCAAGAGTGCCCTGTTCCTTAGGGGTAGTTTCGATCCTTTGTCATAAAGATGTCATTGATTGTGGGCACCTGTGACTCACACCTGTAATCCTAGCTACTCAGGAGGCAGAGATAAGGGAGATCGAGGTTTGAAGCCAGTCCAGGCAGATAGTTCTCGAGAGCCTATCTTGAAAAACCCTTCACAGAAAAGGGCTGGTGGAGTGGCTCAAGTGGTAAGTGTGCCTGCTTAGCAAGTGTGAGGCCCTGAGTTCAAACCCCAGTACTGCCAAAAAAAAAAAAAAGTTGTCATTAATCATTCCTGTCCGTCCTGGATTCCAAGGTGGCTGCAGGAGAGAATAGCTCAGAGGAAAGGCCAACAGAGACAAAATGGGCACAAGTAAAGAGTCAATGTCTTTCAGCAGAAGTGTAAGAGGTGCTCAAACTGCTTTTGCTGAAAGGCACTGACTCCTTACTTAGGCCCAGGAGTTAACTAAAAACAGGAGAAGCTTGGCTTCCCTGCCTCCATTTTGTGTCTGTCTATGCTCTAAGCCAGTCTCTTTGCAGTCACTTTGCAATCACCTTGGATTCCAGAAAGGACAGAACTCATAACATCTTTATGACAGGGGACTGGAACTTCCCATAATCAACCATGGAACATGCATGTTGCAGGAGGGCTCAGACAGAGAGACGGGCACCAAAGTTTTCAGGAAGCAAGTTTATTAAGCAAACCCAGCAGCGACTCAGCAGACTCATGTCCAAAGGCTGAGCACCAAGAACAAAGGGGGCTTTCCTTATACACCATTTAGAGCAGGTTACAGATATGGGGGGGTACAGCTTGTCCCATACATAATCACGTGTTATTTCATTGGCTATTGTAACCTCTGGGGCAAGGTGACCCTCCTCTGGTCTCCAGGTAACATTCCCCAACTCCAGTTGTCCTTTGTTTCACTGTTGCACTCATTAATCTCTCTTCCCCCTCCCTACCTTCCTGCTACCTTCCCCCATTTGATGCTTGGACCCACTTCTGGGTCAAAAAGCATCATCTTGATAAAGACCGCAGTTCAGGGGGATTAGCATGGTAATATCAGGCATGCGCGTAAGACAGGGAACATTGTCCCTATTAAGGTCTTGAACCCACCTAAGGTTGAGAATCAGCCCCGAACAGGTCATCGGACTCCATCCCTTCCAGGTCTGCACAGGGGCGTGGGCAAACTTTTTCATCTTGTCGGTAATCTCTTCAATTACCTTTTCCTTCATCATCAATCTGTAAAAAGCAGTCATCCAGATTGAACTTTCCAAACACTCCACCCTCCCAGGCTAGCAAATAGTCCAAAGCCAAACGGTTTTGGTGTTTGGTGTTGCATACTTTGGTTTGTTGTTCGGCTAATACGTTGAGGGCTTTAGCTGTTTCATTAGTTATAATCTCAGCCACTGCCTGAAGCCGAATGACACGGTTGAGCGTATAGATTGGGGTGTGACAGTCCCAGAAGTCACCTCTGCCCCTGTAGCAGGACCATAGTAATGAAAAAATGACCACTCTGGAGGCCATTCACCATCCTTCCAGTCCCCTATTTGTAGGGCATCTCACTTTTTTCTGTTTATCCTTTCTTCATGTATGGAGACTCCTAATTTTTCACCTTGTCTGAGGGGGAGCAAGAAGAAAGAAGGCTGGCTGGTGCTCAGCACACAGGATCCGAACCAGTCACTGGGAAGGATTGTGTAAGCTCATCCCCCACAGATCCCTAGCACTCCACTCCAGGCCTGCTGTTAGATTATTCCCGGATATTGCAGGCTTAGTGAAGTTAGCAGCGGGTGAGGCTGGGGCTCCGTGTGATTGCGAGCTCCCCGCCATGGAGTCTCCTGAGCAGTGTCATTGAAAAACTTTTGTCCCAAACAGATCAGGTCCCCTACCAGGGTGGAGAATTGGCCTTTTGGATAGGAGATACAGTAATTCCCAGTAATAGAGGTTTTTAGGAGCCAAATGCTCTCCCCATGGCTGGGGGGAGTGGCTTCATTAAAGGGCTCTTGAGGGTTTATCTCTTTTGCCTCCCATGGCCAATGGTCTCCCGTATTTGTTCCTCCACTAACATAACATGAAGTTACATTCAGAGTTTGTGCTATGGACTCAGCTAGTGAGAGGACCAGGTTTTTGGTTTTAACTGAGATGGGAAACTCACTTTG